CTCCTGTTCTGTTTTCCTTGTGAGTGTGTATCTTTCTGGAGTCCCTGGGTGCAAATGGCTAAGTGCTGAGCTGCTGAAGGAAAGGTTGGAAGTTTGAGTCCACCAGAGTACCTCAAAAGAAAGGCCTGGAGATCTGCTTCAGAAAAACCAGCTGTTGGAGACTCTATGGAGCACAGTTCTACTCTGACACATGTGGGGTCACCATCAGAATAGACTCAATAGCAACTGGTTTGATTTTTTGTGTGTGTGGAAGTGTAGCTTTTTATTCTATTACTAGCATCTTAGCAGAGTGTCTGAAGGAAACAAAGATAAACACCTGTGCTCAACATGCCATCATAACAAAGTCTTCGACCTGTTTTCTAATCAGGGGATCCTCACAACCCACGATCTGGCCAAATGCAAAACGTTTAGAAAATGGTATGTAAACAACACAAACCAGCCAGGTCACAGGTCACACTTGCAAGTTCCTCACATTTCCACTGACTGGTATTAATACTTTCAATCTAGTGATTTGCTTTCATGAGGGACAGGTGTCCTCCTCCACCATTGGCCAGGGGGAGTCCCTGGGCATAACCTTCTGAGAGGGAGGGGCAGGGATGTCCCAATAGCCCAGATCACTCTACCAAAAAACCAAAATCAAACTCGTTGCCATCAAGTTGACTCCGACTCATGGTGACTCCATGTGTGTCAGAGTAGAACTGTGCTCCATAGGGCTTTCTAGGCTGTATTCTTAACAGAAGCAGATCAGCAGACCTTTCTTTTGTGGAGCTGCTGGGTGGATTTGAACCACCAATCTTTTGGTAATTGTTAGTTGCTATTATTAGTTGGTAATTGTTGTTGTTAGTTGCCAGGCCTGTCTTCCGAGGCATCTCTGGGTGGGTTCAAACTGCCAACCATTCGGCACCTCAGATCACCCACAGAAGGGCCAGAGGCTGACATGCTGCAGTTCTTGGATATGCCAAGGTGTCACTGCTGACTGACAAACAGGCTCCTTAACAACCTGCTTGAGAGAACCATGTGTCTCTCAGAGCCTTGGTGCCCTGTGTGTCATTCCCAGCCTGAAGCACCCTTGAGGGGCTCCCACCATTCAGCTGTCCTGTCCTGAGGACGCTTGGTGTGACTTCTCTCTACAGTCCCATTCTGGCTACCCTGTCCCTTTCAGGGAGTCTTCATACTTTGGGTGACACCCCAGACACTCCAGCTTACTTTCCTGGGCAAGCCTGGCTCTTTTCCTTCATCCCCCAGGGGCTGGCGGTGTGCGACGTCCATCTGTGCCGGGGCTGCCTTCCCAGTCCACACTGTATTTCTGGTGGTGACAACTGAACAGTTTTGCTTTCAACAGATCCTCCAATAAAGTATAAGTAAACAAACAAATTGGTGCATTTGAATTGTGGTGTTGAATACTGAATATACCCTGGACTGCCAAAAGAATGGACAAATCAGTCTTAGAAGAAATACAATCAGAATGCTCCTTAGAAGCAAGGAGGTGAGACTTCAGCTTGCTTGCTTGCTTTGGACATGTCATCAGGAAGGACCAATGGCTAGAAAAAGACATCACGTTTGGTGAAGCAGAGGGTCAGCGGAAATGAGGGAAACCCTCAATGAGATGAATTGTCACAATAGCTACAATAATGGGCTCTAACATACCAATGATCGTGAAGATGGCACAGGTTTGGGCAACCTTTTGTTGTGTCGTATGTGAGGTTCTCATGAGTTGGAGCCAACTCGATAGCAACTGACAACAACAACAAATAAACTAAAAGTGAAACATCCACTCCCCAGGTAGTGCAGTAACTGGTAACTCCCGGAGGTTGAACATGCTGGACACTGACATCAGAGGGCACCTTGCAGGAGGAGGGGGCAGAAAAGCCTCCACAGAAGTGACCTAGAATCCCAAACAGGTGCCCCTGGAAGAGGGCTGAGCTGAGCTAGACCAGGGGCCTGAGGATAGGGTGTGTCTGGCATCTGGAGCATCCAGGTTAGAGAAGGTAGGGCCCAGGGCACCAGTGGAGGTGGGCCATGCTGAGGAGAGAGGCTTCAGAGTCTGGGTCTGTGAATGGGGGAAGGACAGGACTGACACCTGTATGCTAGGGGAAGGAGGGAGAAGGGGGCATATCAAACGGCAGAGACCTCCTTTGCAGAGGCCTGCAGGTCTGTGCCAGGATGGCAGATGCTGGGCTAGCAGGTCCTCACACCCACTGTGCCTGTCCCCACCCAGCCATTTGGTCGTCCAGCCTACCCTGGGCCACAAATACCAGTTGACGATCCATTGGCACCATCTTGTCCGAGATCCATGCCCATATGAGTGAGTACCTGAGCCGGCTGCTCCCAGGGCAACCTGAGTGTGTCCGTGTGGACTTAGATGAGAAGGGCAATGAGGTGTGCAGGCAGGGCCCAAAGTGCCAGGGGAGGTGGGGCCACAGCAAGCCTGTCCTCTACCTCTCCTCCCCCCACCCCATGCCAGTCCTATGCATGGGCCTGCAGGTGCCCAAGGGGAGGGTGGCTCCGGGCCAGTGATCAGCACTGCAACAACCAGAGGACAAGGTCCTGGGGGATGGGCCTTTCTTGCTGGCGGCCAGGTGACCCTGGTTGGCCTCTTGGAGCTGGAGGAGTGAATGCCGCTACAGGTGTGGGCTCAGAGCAGCCAGCAGCCTCCCTGCACTGACCCTGCTTGGGGGTCAGGGCCCCTTCCGTTTGATAAAGGAGGCACCCCTGCCTCTTGCAGCCCCTGAGTGAGCAGTGGGATCCCTCTCTGGCTGTCACCCTGCCCTGGCCTCAGGTGGGGTCTGTGAAGGGGGCTGGTGTTCCCGCAGCCCATGGTCCTTGGCTGCAATGTAGTTGAGGGGCAGCTGCAGCTGGCAGTAAGACAGCAGGAGTGAGGCTTTCCTGGGTACCTGGGCAGACAGCCAACCAGACACTCCCAGAGCCTCCACCAGAGCTGCACCAGTGGGTCCTGCTGCAAATCAAGGGTCGTGGTGGGGCAGCAGGCTGATGGCTGGGAGACACAGTAAGGTTGCTGGTTCTTGTCCATCACCCCGGATTGTTTTGTCTGCCTCTGAGTCTCATTCTTGGTTGAAGTGATGAACTAGGGGATGAGCAATGGCCTCACTACCACCCCTTCCCTATCTCGGTCTCCCATCTTGCTTTCCTGTGGCCCTGATCCCAGATGAGAAATCCTGCTGGGGCTACTGGGCTGAGGGTAGCAGGTGAGGCTGGTTCTGTGCCAGCTTCCTGCCTGAAGAAGTCTCCTGGGGACAGCTCATTCCCCTGGCTCCTCACCTGCCTGCCTGTGCTCCTGGAAGCAGGCGGGTGGGGCAGGCCACCCTGAGCTGCCCTCCCAGCTGGGGAAGGGCTTCTGCTGGCCATGCCTCCTCTGCAGCCAGAGGCTCCCAGGTACTCTGTCTGGGCTGATGGCCTCACTGGGGGCCAGGTTTGCACCAGCTACTGTCCCAGGGCTCGCTGGCAGTGGTGCTCTGCTTGATCCCATCAGAGCTGCCAAGGGGTGCACGGGCCAGGCTTGGATGTATGCTGACCCTGGGGCCAGGATAGGTCAGCCCACCATGCCCCATGGCCTGTGAGTATGTGAGTGTATGTGGGGGGGAGGGAGCAGTGAGAGAGGTGTGGGAGATGAGTGGGCACGTGAGAGGTTTGGGGGTGGACAGCACTTGGAGAATGAGGGAGAAAGAGGTGGCCCAGACACATCTCAGGGTCTTGCCTGAACCCCAGAGTCCAGGGTGCCATGCCTGAGGTGGGGTGCGTTGGAGGACGAAGAAGATGGTAAGCTGAGGGTTGGCTGCATGGAGGGGTGGTGTCTATGAGACTTCAGGACAGTTCCTCTTGTCTTGAGAGAGGAGAGCCTGGGCTTGAGGTGCAGGGGGAACGCATATGTGTGTGTAATTGAGTGCATGTGCATGCGTATGCACATGTGCATGACTGCATGAGTGTGTGATTGTATGTGTGAGTATGAGCATATAAGTGAGTGTGGATGTGCATACATGTGTGTGTCGTGTGTGCATGTATGTATGAGTGTGTGATTGTGTGAACATATGAGTGTGTGTGTGTGAGTGCATGTGTATATGTCAGTGCATGAGTGTGTGATTGCATGTGTGTTTGGGCATGTAAGTATCAGCATGCATGCCTGTGTATGACATACAGTGTGAATGTGTGTGTATGTGGTTTTGTGTGCATGTTTGTGTGGTTCTGTGCATGCATGTGTATGTGAATGTATGTGAGTGAGCATGTGAGTGTGTGTGCACATATAGGTGACAATGTTTGAATGTGCATGTGTGTGAGTATATAGTTGTGTGAGGGTGTACATGTGTGAGTATGTGAGCGTGCGAGTGTGTGCATGGAGGTGTGTATTTGAGTATGTACATGAGTGTATGTGTGACAGTGTGTGAGTATACATGTATGTGTGAGCATGTGTGTTTGAGTGTGCACATGTGTGACAGTGTGTGCATGTATGTATAATTGTGTGTGCATGTGTGTGTAGTTGTATGTTTGTGTGCATGTATGTATGACAGTGTGTCTGCATGTGTGTGAGTGTGTATGTGTGAGTGTGTGGTGTAGTGGAAGAAAAGATGAGGATGGCCTGACGACATGAAGAGTGTGCCTGCCAGCTGGCCTCCCAGCCCCGTCACCGACTGGAGAGCTGAGGAAGCTAGGCTGGAAAGGAAAAACAGGGTGGCAGGCCCAGGAGGGATTGTGCTTGGCCTGGGGCCCAAGGGAGGGAAGGATGGTGGGAGTCGTCCAGGGGCTTTCGACACCCTGTGGAGTGGGAAGAGGGGGACCTTGTTCTAGGAAAAGAGTGGCCAGCCACCAATAGGGGCACAGCAGACGCAGGCCACCCCACCAGTCATGGAGGAGCTGGGCTCAGGGATGGGGGTGAGGAGGGACTTTGGCCTGAGGGTTGAGCAACCCTGGGAGGTAGGTGGGGTGACAGGGTGAGGCCAGATGAGGATGGTGTGAGGGCCCTGAGGACAGTCACAGAGGAGGCAGCAATGGGGCTAGAGCTGTTCCGGGAACTATACTTGCCTCCCTGCTGCACCATCTACATCTTCGCCAGAAGGAGCAGCATCTCCTTTGAGCTTCATGCAGTAGAGCTGGTGCAGGGTAAGGGGGGCCAGGCCGGGCCGCCGGGGATGGGGCACTGAGGGGCCAGACCCTGGAGTCTCTCCTGCCCTCTGCCCACGCAAGGGAGCACCTGAAGCCTGAGTTCCTGAAGGTGAATGCCCTGGGAAGGTGCCTGCCCTCAAGGATGGTGATTTCCTGCTGGCAGAGGGGTAATGGGGGCACCTGATGAGTGTCCCTGCTCAGAGCCAGGTGGGGTTTAGGTGTTCTGCGTTGGGGGAAGGAGGAGGAGGAGGGGAAGCTGACACCTTCTGGCTTAGAGATCTTTCTTCCTTGAAGCTGCCCAGCTCAGAGATGGGTGGGGGAGTTGCGGGGGGCGGGGGGAGGCAAAGGCAGGATCAGGGGGCCACCTGGGACTAGAGCAGGGGAGCTGGAGCTGCTGGGGTAGGGAGGGGGCACAGGCCACCCAGCCAGGCCTGGACAACCTGGGCAGAAAAAGGGCAGGCAACTCAGAGTCCCACTCCCTACTTCCTTTCTGTGCCCTTAGGTGGGCCCCAGAGATTCTCAGCTCCCCTGTAAAATGGAGGAGGGCTTGCCTGAGCATGGAAACGGGCACCTCCTGCTGGGGGCCAGGGAGCTCAGCAAGGGGGACTTTGTGCAGTACCCCCCGACCAGATCCAAAGTGCTGAGGAGAGGTGGCACAGGAAGGGCAAGACCCCTTGGAGGGGTCTCCACTGGCAGGTCCACCTCTCTCACTCCAGGTGGGCCCCTGATGTCAGACAGCTGGGCCTGAGGCAGGGGGCGGGTATGTAGGCAGTGGCTGGGAGGGAGGGTGCAGCATGGGACAGGGAGCAGTGAAGTTTGGATAGGGAGGAAACTAAGGCAGGGGGGAAGTCCCTGTGTGGTACAAATGGTGAACGTGATGGGCTGTTAATTGAAAGGTTGGTGGTTTGAGTCCTCCCAGAGGCACCTCAGAAGAAAGGCCTGACAATCTACTTCTGAAAAATCAGCCACTGAAAACCCTATGAAGCACAGCTTTACTCTGACATTCATGGGGTCTACATGAGTCAGGATCGACTGGAGGGCAACTGGTTTTTGTTTGTTTGTTTAAACGAGGGAAGGGTCCTAAGCCAATGGAGCAGTTTGGGGTGCAGATGCTACATAGAGCAGGATGTGAAGGTGGGAGGCCCTCCCCTGGAGGTAGACTTGAGAGAACGCCATCAAGCTTCCTGGGAGTAATGGAAGGAGGGTCTCCGCCTGGGCTGGATGAGAGCTCTGACAGCCCTGTCTGCCCCGCATACAGCGTGAAAGTTCCACCCGCGTGGACAAGTACCTAGAATGGCAGTATGGTGCCATTCAGCTACCTGCCACCAACGTCTACCTGTGAGTTTCCCTGGCCTTATCATGCAGTTCAGGCAGAGCCAGGACCTCCAGAGCTGGAAGGTGTCAGTGATCCGTACAACACCTCCCCTGCCCTGCCCCAGGCAGACATTGTTAATCCACCTCAGCACATTCTCCCCTGAGCCTGAACTAGGCCTCAGATTCCTTCTGAACACAGAACCCTAGGATGCATCATTATAGATGAGGGCAGGGAGGAGAGGAGGTTGGTTGGGGGACCCAGGACAGTCTCCCCTCTCCTCCCAGCCCAGTCTGTCCTGTTCCACTTCTCAGGGTGGCCTGTGGACTGGAACACTTGCTGGGGAGGTTGGACCAGGAAGTCCTTATGGCCAGGCCCTCCTGGCCACCGAGCAGCTCTCCCTGGCAGACCTGGTGGCACTCACAGAGCTGATGCAGGTGAGGCCCTCCTTCCTGCCCTCCTACCTGGGGGCATTGGGGCACTGGGCTGGCCCCCCTGTCCCAGCTGCCCTGTCTTCCCAGCTAACTACCATCAGCTGCCACATTTTCCAAGACTGGCCCCGCCTGGCCATATAGCAGGCCTTCATGGAGGCTGCCCTAGGCCCCAACCTTGTCCAGGAGGCACACCAGCTTGGGTCGCGTTCCAGCCTTGGGACCCCCACGTAGGACCACAGCTGTCCCAGGAGCTGGTTGAGTGGCTGCGGGAAGAGCTCCACTGAGGGGCAGCTGCTCATCCGGCCCTCCGCTGCCCACAATAAACATGCTGTGTGCCCTCACCTTGCCTTCCACCTCACTCTGCCCTGGGAAGAGTGAGCCTAGAAGGGCAGGGGTTGTCACAAAGCACACAGTCTCTAGTCACCTTCCTCGGCCCCAGTTGCTGAGTTCCAGGTGAGCAGCCCGGTGACCCTTTTCAGTCCCCACTCAGATGGGCAATTTCTGGGCTCCTCTGCACCACGCTGGCTGTCTGGCTGCCCGCCCCTGACTGCCCTGTGGTGTCATCCCCAGTGCTCCTGACCAGTCCTCAGACCCCTGTTTCTCTTTTTTAGAGTCCTTTCCTAGCTCAGTTCACCTAGATATCCCTGAAGACAGCCTTAACCCCTACTTATGAGCCCTCCAGGGTTGTTCTCACTGCCCCACCCTCATTCTGAACCCTGCAAAGCCCCTTGGTCATGTTTCACAATGAAGATTTGGCCGTGGGAATTCAGAAAACCTTCTCAGACAGCACGTTCACGAGTCTGTCCCACCGGGCACACACGTGCACATGAGGTAAAGAGCAGAGTCGCAGGCCCAAGCCTTCTCTTTGCAGGGCCTCTTCCAGCTGACTCTTGGCCCGCCTCAGAATCCTTGCTGCCATGAGAATTCCAGGCTTCCTGGCCTCATGACAACACCAAGTGAACAAGAAGTTCCAGAATGTGGATTCCTGGGCCTAGGTGGGAGAGGGCAAACCAGGGGCTGGTGGGCACAGGGCCTGGGGCTCAGCAGGCTGCACACAGGCTTGGCTTCCAGCCAGCCCACCTGTTGTTGGGCACAGCGCACACCCTAGCATGGGTCTCGAGCTGTACATGGACCTGTTGTCAGCACCCTGCCGCGCTGTCTATATCTTCGCCCGGAAGAACGGCATCCCCTTCAACTTCCAGTTTGTGGATCTGCTGAAAGGTCAGCATTCACTGCTTCTCGGGCAGGCCAGTCCTGGGGGAGGCAGGTACACAGGTAGGGACATTTCTGAGAAGAGTGGACAGAGATCGAGGACAACCCCCGAAAGGTCCACCGAAGAGGAAAAGCCTCCAAGGGATTTGTAGGCTGTGTGTCTTCTAGCTTCCCTTTGCCAGCCCTTCTAATTTTCCCTCTCTGGAAGCCATGACAGTCCCCATGACATGATGAACAGATTCTTCTAGAGTGGAAGGAGAGCCGCTGAGGGGTCCTCGGGCTCCCCCTGGAAACTTCATTTCTCCTGTGGGTGCCGGGCATCTTATTATCCATAGCACCTACCAACTTGCTTAGCAAAGGTAGAAGTGCATGGTCATTCTGCACCTGAGAGTCCAGGTGTTGCCTCAGTCCACACCCATGCTCCCCAGTGTTACACATACTCCAGGTAAGGTTCAGGAGATCCATCTCTAACTTTGCCCCAAGCACAGAGGGGGCTTTAAAAGAGCACAGAAGAGGAAACACAGGAGTCTGGGGCATGAGTGGGACCCCGTAAGTGATTCTACCTGGAGGCAGCTGGCCTAGGAAGATTTAAAACTCCTGTCTCTAAATCAGGTTCCTTATTCAGATCCCCATAATTGCATTTGAGAGGCTCCCTTCTGGACTTCCCAGCAACATGCTGGGTCTGGGACCGTGCTTCCTCTGCTGCCAGCACCAGCTTCTCTGCGCCTCTTAGAGGAGAGACAGAGTGAAGGGTGGCTGGAGTGGGGTGGGATCCTGGTCCCTAGGACTGCATTTGAGTCACAGGCTGGAGCTGTAGGCCCAGAGTTGGGAACAGGGGCTGGAGGCTCCCCATCTCTGTGAGCCAAAGGGTTGTCCTGGTCCTGCGGCACAGGCAGGAGGCCATGGGGGTCACTGAACCTGGGGGCCGGCTGGGAGGCAGGATTCCTGATCCCAGCCCCTGCTGTGCCATGGACCTGCCCTATGACCTGGGCAAGCCACAGCATCCTCTGGGCCTCAGTTTCCCCTTTTCGAGAAAACAGAGAGGAAAGGCATTTCTGACTCTGGGAGGCCAGCTCTCTTCCCTGGGGTCCCAGCAGCCTCAGACCTTACCTGCCCTCTCAGGTCACCACCACAGCAAGGAGTACATTGAGATAAACCCCCTGAGGAAGCTGCCCAGTCTCAAAGATGGAAAATTTATCTTATCTGAAAGGTAACATCTTCCCTAGACCCTCCCACATCTTCCCTGCTCCAGAATTAGTTGCAGCCAACCACTAGCATTAAGTTTTTATGGAAAATTGCACACACACACACTAACGTAGAATGAATAACAACTAAAAAGTAATCTAACAAACCCCATATACTCATCACCCAATTCCAACAGTGGTCAGCTCGGAGCCCATTTTGTTTCATAAGTACCCCACTGAGGAGTTCCTGGGTGGCGCAAATAGTTAATTGTTCAACTACTAATGGAAACTTTGTCAATTTGAACCCACTCAGAGAAGCCTTAGAGGATAGGGCTGGCAATCTGCTTCCAAAACGTCACAGTCTTGAAAACTCTACGCAGCTGTTCTATTCTGCACACATAGGGTTGCCATGAGTTGGAATTGACTCGACTGCAATGGGTTTGGTTTTGGTGTTTTTGGTACCCCACTTAGTTCCCCTGCCTCCCAGACACCCCACCATTCATGCATAAATGTTAGGAATGTTCCTCTAAAAGATAAGGACTCTAACAAAATGCATCATCATTATGATCCTTAACAAAATTAACAATAGTTCTTTGATTTCATCAAACATCCAGTTTGTATTCAAGTCTCATATTTTCTTTACAGTTTGTTTGCTCGAATCAGGGTCCAAATAAGTTCTAAGTATTACAGCTTGTTGATATCTCATGTCTCTTTTAATCTACAGCCCCTTTCTCTATATATCTTTTTTCTTTGCATTTTGTTGTTGAGAAAGCTAGGCCCTTTGTCCTGTGGTTTTCCCAAAGTCTGAATTTTGCTGATGGCTCCTCATGAGACATGTTTCTCTATCCCTCCGTTTCCTGAAAATTGGTAGTTGCATTTAGAGGCTTGATGAAACTCAGGGCTGATTATTTTGCAAGTCAGCTTCATAGGCATTCTCAAGATTTCGAAAGCATATCTTCCAAGTGGACCATGGTGGTCATGGTGGCCACAGAGCACAGGCTCAAAAATGCAAGGGCTCCTGTCATGGATTGAATTGTGTCCCCCAAAAAATGTGTGCAGCAACTTGGCTAGGTCATGATTCCCAGTGTTGTATGATTGTGCAATCTGATGTGATTTCCTTATGTGTTGTAAACTCTATCACTATGATGAGATTATATGTGATCTCCTCACGTGTTGTAAATTCTATCACTGTGATGAGGTTATACTGATGAGGTTGACAAGATTAGATAGTGTCTTAATGCAATCTCTTTTGAGATATAAAAGAGAGAAGCGAGCAGAGACACATGACATCCTCATATCACCAAGAAAGCAGTGCCGAGAGCAGAGCACATCCTTTGGACCTGAGGCTCCCATGCAGAGAAGCTCCCAGACCAAAGGAAGATTGATGACACAGACCTTCCTCCAGAGCCAACGGAGAAAGCATTCTCCTGGAGCTGATGCCCTGAATTTGGACTTGTAGCCTACTGGACTGTGAGAGAATAAACTTCTCTTTGCTAAATCCATCCACTAGTGGTATTTCTGTTAGAGCAGCACTAGATGACTAAGACAGCTCCTCACCTCCACCTTTGGCCTCCTCATTATGCCACCTTCTCACCTGGTAGTCTTGTCCCTCCCAGCTTTCTGTCCTTGGCCTTAGAACTATCTGCTCTCCATGCCTGGTGAACCCCATCCCCCCCTCCAATTCCTCAAGGCTGTCACAAATGACCTACCACTTTCCATCAACCACCAAGGCCCCTGGGTCTGGGTGACTATCAGAGTGCTTGAAGGGGTCAGGACAGTGGCTACAAATGGCAGAAATGAAGCTCAGCCAGTGTGAAAATGACGTGGGGGCAGTGTCTGATCTCTAACTTCACAAAGTGGAAGGAGAATCAAGATCAACAGCCCAAGGCTGATTCCCATGAGGCAGAAGTCAGACATGTCTCCTTTCTCTGCCATCTTTACCATTTCTGACACCAACTGTCCCTCCCACGGCACTCTCTACTTCTTTGCTGGGTTCAATAATTCATTGCAATGGCCACATAAAACTCACAGACAATACTCACGATTATGGGGTTTATTAGGGAAGTAACAGGTTACAATTCAGGCTCAGGAACACTCGGGATACAGTTCTTCCATCAGGACAGCCTCTTCCCAGCCAGGCAGCAAGCATGCCTCTCTCTGGCCCCTTGGCCTTTGCCCTGCTCAGGCAAGTGTTACAAAGCTCTTTAAGCCCCTGCCAATAAGTGCTTAGAGGCACCCCACACCACCAGTAAGCCTCGGCCCAGAGGCACTCAGCTTTCTCACTCTGTGGGCCTGGAAGTCCACTGCGCTGTCTCCTGCTCATGTCTCCTGTCCCCATTTCTCTGCCACCACTTTCCACTGTCTTCAGTGTTAGGATACCTCTGTGTCTCCTGGGTCCAGGAGCTTCTTAGCACAGGGATCCTGGGTCCAAAGGACACACTCTCTGCTCCTGACTGTTCTTCCTTGGTGGTGGGATTCTCTCTCTGCTCTGGAATTGGCTCTGTTTTAAGGCAAAACTGACCAATCCTCTTGGAGGGTCACAATTGCCTTATTTGCAAAGTCCCACCCACTCAGCTGGGTGGAAGTTACAAGACCATAGCAAGAAAGCCCACACAAAAGTGATCCATCACATTGCAACCAGTTTGAGAAAAAGGGTGATTTACCCTCTGGTATGCCAAACCAGGAAGAGCCCTGGTGGCACAGTGGTTAAGCGCTCAGCTGCTAATTCAAAGGTCATCCATTTGAACCTACCAGCTGCTCTGTGGGAGAAAGATGTGGCAATCTGCTTCCATAAAGGTTACAGCCTTGAAAACCATATGGAGCAGTTCTACTCTGTCCTATAGAGTTACTATAAGTCAGAATCGACTCCACTGCAATATGGTGTATGACAAGCCAGGGAGTCTGGAATGGGACTAGTGCAGGGCTCTTGCTTCCTCTAGTGTGCAAGCTTTCTCTCTATGTTTCTGTTTCTCTTTTTCTCTGTTTCTGTCTCTCTCTCTGTATATATCTCCTTCCTCTCTCCCTGCTCTGCCTTCATCTCATGTCTCAGCTTCTTCAGGTGTGTGGCCTCACTTTCTCAGTTGTCTCTGTACCATCAGGGCCAACAGCACCTCTGTAGTCGTACCTTTGAAGCACCTGATCTGGGAAAGGAGCAGCCCCTCCTTTCCGGATGAGAGAAAATTCCGAGGAAGAAGCTGATAGGCCCAGTCTGAGTCACCTGCTCCCCGTGGACCAGTCACCGGCCAGGATGTGGGTGGGACCTTGTGACTGGCAGTGAACCCCGAGGAACCATGTGATTAAAGATGGTGGAACAGCAACCTGAGGCGAAAGGAGGGAGGGGTTGTGCAGATAGAATAGGAGATGCCCAACCAGGATCACCCCTTACTGGGGTGGCTTCTCCCTGAAGGAGCTGGGCATCCTCCAGGCACAGCCACTCCAGATCTGTTCTGGGCACCATTAGGCTGGTCGCCCCCAGTCTTGCCAGGGGAAGCCAAGAGGGCTGATATTAGGGAAAGAGTGTTGGGGGCCCCAACCTTCAGGGGCAGGGCAAAGAGAATCAGACAGAGGTGGTGACATAGGAGCGCTGGTGGGTCTGCCCAGAGCAGTCATGATCCATGGATGGTCCACCAAGGGTGGCCCCCCAGAGGCCACAGAATGGGCAGGAGCGTGGGGCCAAGGAGGCAAGCCCATGCCTGCCTCTCACGGTCCTATAGTGGCTGGAGGCTCTACAAACCATCCTCCACTCTGCTTCTGCCACCTGCCCATCTCATCCCCTCTGCTGCCAGTTCTCTCTCCTCCCTCCCACTCACCCCAGCCCCACTGCTCCCTAGTGGCTCAGCCAAGGTCACTGGCCAACCCTAGCAGTCAGATCAGTGGCAGGGCTCGGCTTGGCTAGGCTGCTGGAGCCAAACCCCAGCACTGGCCCTCAGATCTGTGCATTCTTGACAAGTTACTTATATCTCTAAGCCTTGGTTTCCTTAAATGCAAGTAGGAGCACTGGTACCCATCTGGCAGGGCTATTGAGAGATCAGATGAGGTGCTCAGGCCTAGGATGGCTCCATGTAAGTGGATGTTAGAACTCCCCCACAAACTCCAATCTTCCAGCCCTGTTTCCCCCTTCTTGAGCTGTGTCTCTGGACTTCAGGGTCTCCCTCCTCCTCCTTGGCTGATCCTCCTCCATTTCCCCTCCTCCTCCCATCCCTGCTCCCTTCTTGCCTGCCAGCTCTACTCAGGGATGCCACCTGCCCATCTGACTTTGATGTTGTGATATCAGACTCAGGCTTAGGACTCTCTTGGGGTCCCAGACTTGTCTCCATTCAGATGCCCACACTTCAAATGCCCATCCACCCTGAGTTCCTCACCTTTCCCCACTGTATTCCTCCCTCTCTTCCCCCCACCAGCCATCAGCAACACCCAGATGTCCCCTTTGAAGCATGTCTCCAATCCGTTCCCTCCTCTCCATTCCGCAGCCCCTGCTCTCCCCAGGTACCAACACTACTGGCTTTGTTACTGAACGCAATGGGTTCGCCGCTTGTACTCTGTTTAAGAATAATTAAGAATCAAGCAGATTTAAAGCAAGGCATAGTTAATTACTTGCAACGAGTAAGGAAAGAAGGGGGGATCCTCCCTGAAAGCACTGTCTCTCCAAACAAAGGGCTGAGAGTGCAGTTTTCTACCACGCGGGAAAGAAGGAGTCATACATATCCATTCACTTCATATATACTCAAAAAGGGATTGTGGTAGAATTCTGGCACAGAAGTGGCTAACGGACTTCTCACTTCGGAAGAGGGCTTGGTCACCGCTTGATGACATATATCCAGTGATTTTGGGTCCTAGGCAACACTTACGGGATGAGGCCATTTGCCAGTCGGACCTGGTCTCTTACCGCGCATGCCCAGGATTCTAGTTCTAATTGGCTGATCTGAAAGACAGCTACAAGTGGACAGATTAGGCAGAAGCAACTTTCGCATCATTCTTCTTCCAGACAAAATTTGTAACCAACATAACTTGTCGTTTAAGGACTTCTCTGACCCTAGGTGGTCTCAGCTTGGGTATCGCAGCAGCTGACATCTTGGCCTTCCTCCATCCAGTACCAGAGGGATCTTTCTAAAGTTCAAGGTGGATCTTGTCATTCCCCTGCTTACATGATCTTGGAGATTAAGTTTATGCTCATCCCTGCAACCTCCAACCACCACCACTAGTTGTCATCAAGTCAGCTCCGACTCATGGTGCCCCCATGTGTGTTAGAGTAGAACTGTGCGCCATAGGGTTTTCAGTGGCTGATTTCTTGGAAGTAGATTGCCAGGCTTCTCTTCTGGGTGGACTCAAACCACCATTATTTTGGTTAGCAACTGAGTGTGCTAACGGTTTGCATCACCCAAGGACCCTGCAACCTCCAAGGGCCTCCCTATGTGGCCTCTCTCACAGCATCTATGGCTGTCTGTTCCCCTTGCCCCACTTTCCCTCCAGACACACTGAACTGCTCTCCTTTCTCCAAATTTGCTGTCCTTCCCCCTTCCCTGATGTTTGAGCACTTGCTGTTCCCTGGCCTGGACTGCCCTTCTTTATGCCATTGGCCAACTCCTACTCCCCCTCAGGTTTCCTTTCTTGCCTCATTGACTGATGGACTGACTGCTTTGGGGATGGCCTTCCAGAGGGCTCTTGGGGCTCATCCTCCTCCAGGAAGATGCCAGTGCCTAGAGCCTGCCTGTGGCTGCAGCCCCAGGATTTGGGCCCGGGCCTTACTGGAGCTAGCTGGCATAGGAGTGTTTGGGAAGGCAAGAGCAGCGCCCTGCCCTGCCCTTTCTGCAGTGTGGCCATCCTCTCCTACCTGTGCCGAAAGTACAGTGCACCTTCACACTGGTACCCACCAGACCTACATACACGTGCCCGCGTGGACGAGTTCATGGCCTGGCAGCATACGGCCATTCAGCTGCCCATGAGCAAGATGCTATGGATCAAGGTGAGTAGGGGTGCAGAAACCACCTGGCCAGGGCCTGGGCAGCTGCCAGAATGAGGCTGGGACTGGTGGAGCCGGGAGTCAGGAAGCCTGGAGTCCAGGCCTGGCCCTGCTGACCACTGGTGAGCTCGAGCAAGTATCCCTCCCTCCCCAGCCTTATTTCCTCTGCCCGCACTCCTGCCCACTACACAGAGCTGTTGGGAGACTTTAAAAGCACAGGGAAGGGCACTCAGGAGGGGCCAGTATTACTCAAGGTAAGGCAGGATTCAAGAAGTTTCATCAGAGTCAAAGGGCCCATAAAAAAACCTTTGCTGTCAAGTTGATTCCAACTCATAGGGACCCTATAGGACAGAGTAGAACTGCCCCATAGGGTTTCCAAGGAGCGGCTGGTAGATTCGAACTGCTGACCTTTTGCTTAGCAGCCGAGCTCTTAACCACTATTTCACCAGGGCTCCCAAAGGGCCCATAAAGACCATCAAATTTGAAGATGACAAACAGTTAATACACGTGTTCCTACTTCTTATCTTGTGCCTGTGGCAGACATCACTAATTAATCACAGAATTCTTTCCTGTGGGGGGAGGGGCCTCAAAATCCTTCTGAACACATGGTCCCAGGCAACTTCTACCAATCCAAATTGCTAAAAGAGGTGAAATTACTTTACATACTGGTTACTGCCTGACACCGATCTGGTAGACAAGGATACTGAGGCCTGGAGGGTCAGACAGCCTGGGGTGCACCCTCCTCTTCCCTTCTCTCCCTTGCCCTGGCCAGTTGCTAATCCCGATGATCACGGGTGAGGAGGTGTCAGCCGAGAAGACGGAGCAAATCCTAGAAGAAGTGAACAACAACCTTCAGCTCTTTGAGGAGAAGTTTCTGCAGGACAGGATGTTCATCACAGGGGATCACATCTCCCTGGCCGACTTGGTGGCCCTGGTGGAGATGATGCAGGTATGGGGTGGTGGGGGCAGAGAGTGGGCAGAGGTGACCAGTGGGGCCAGAACCTGAGGATGGGCTGGTGACTAGGGAGAGGCAAGCAGGGCCACTGTGGAGGCTGTGGGAACCAAGACTGAGTGCCTGGACACAACCAGGGGTAATGGAAACACAGATGTTTTGAACCAGAAAGTGTCATGATTACTTGTACTTGACAAAGATTCCTCGGTGTGGGGAGGAACTGGAGGTGAGCCTGGGGTAGGGAGAAGAGTACTTGATGTCTTGGTCACTCTGCCAAGATTCCAGAGCTCCTCCTCTCCCTCTGGACTCTCTGGAAAGTGTCCTTCTGGCCTTGCCTCCCTACCAGAGCTACAGACAGATGGTTGTGCAAGGTAGCTCCCCTGGAGGAGCATCAACTGGGCACCTGGGGGCATACCTGGGTGTGGGGCATTTACCTGACCTCTACCTGCAGGGAAGGGTGACCTAGGTGGTGTGCCAGTTTACACCCCATCAGTGTCTTTTGAGGTCAGCATGGTCTCTGGCCAGTATGTAAGAGGGCCACTTTGGTCCTTGGTCAGTGTGCAAAGCAGACTAACACCTGGAAAACCCACTCCAGCCTGTCAGAGTGGGGCAACCCTTATATTTCACCCCTCATCCCCTCCTGGCTTCCAGAATATCTTGGGGGCATGTTTCTTAATGAGTTGGCCAAACTGCTGGGCAGGCTTCCTGCCGATTCTCTTGTTCCAGCCCCTGTAACTGATCACAGAGGGAGGTTCAACATGGGGGAGAAAGAACTAAACTTCTCCCCTCCTCACCTGGGGACAAGGAGTTTCCCTGGAAGAGGGCAGTACCCATGGAAACTTTCAAGCCAGAGGAGTGGGAGCCATCTGGGCCAGGGACTACCTCACAGAGGGGATCAGGGGACTGGAAATAGATCAGTAAGCAAGAGCACTGGGGGATTCCAGATCTCCCATCCCGATCCCACATCTATTACATTGTCCGTGACCCTCTTGCCGAGCTTTTGGGGGTCAGCAGAGTAATTCTTTGCAGAGGTAGATGGGGAGGCCCTCTGAGGATATAGGAGGGGACCCAGATGGGGCTGGTCCCCAGGCTGACCTCCCTTCCTCCTTGTCTATCCACAGCCCATGGGGGGCAACTATAACGTCTTCCTCAACAGCCCCAAGCTGGCTGAGTGGCGCATGCGAGTGGAGCTGACCATTGGCTCTGGCTTGTTCTGGGAGGCCCACGACCGGCTAGTGAAGTTGGCAGAGTGGGACTGCTCAACGTTGGATCCAAGAGTTAAAGAGAGGATCTGTGAGTTTCTGCAGAAGTTCAAGTGACCCCAGAGGGAGCCCATCCTGCAGGACATGGCTGGCTCAGCATTTCTGAGCCTTCCTTCTTAGGGGAGGTACTGAAAGCAACCTGTTTCTTTGCCTAATAAAGAGCTGGCACAACACCATTGCTGGGGTCAGTTGGTGTAAGCATAGGGTCCAGTGTGGGAGAGGGTCTGGTGTGGGAGGGGATGGCGGTTGTGGGTCCTCCTAGCTTCCAAAAGGAATTCAAAAATTAAAGGTTAAATATGATTAAATTGTCAATAACAATAGTTAAAGATTTTAATATCCCACCTTCAATAATGGATAAAATAACCAGACAAAAGATTAGCAAGGAAATAGAAGACATGAACAACACTATAAACCAACTACACGTAAGAGACAGAACACTCCAATAAGAGCTGAATAAACATTCTTCTCCAATGCACATGGAACATTCTCCAGGACAAACATATGCTAGGCCACAAAAAAAGTCTCTATAAATTTAAAAGAACTGAAATAATACAAAGTATGTTATCTGAACACAATGAAATGAAATTAGAAATCAATAAGAGAAGGAAAATTGGAAAATTCTCAAATATGTGGAAATTAAACAACACACTGCTAAATAACCAATGGGTCAAAGAAGAAATCACAAAGGAAATTAGAAAATACTTTGAGGTAAATGAAAATGAAAACACAGCATACCAAAACTTAAATAGCATGCAGCTAAAGCAGTACTTAGGAGGAAATTTATAGCTGTAAATGCCTACATTAAAAAGATCACAATTCAATAATCTAATCTTCCACCTTAAGAAACTACAAAAAGAAGAGTAAACTAAACCCAAAACAAGCAGAAAGAAAGAAATAATAAATATTATGTTGTTCTTGTTTGCCATTGAGTCAATTCTGACTCATAGTGACCCTACAGGGCAGAGTAGAAACCCGTAGTGTTTTCAAGGCTGTAATCTTTACGGAAGCAGATTGCCACATCTTTTTTCTGAAGAGTGGCTGTTGGATTCAAAATGCCAGTTAACAGCTGAGCACTTAACCACTGTGCCAGCAGGGCTCCTTAGTAAATATTATAGCAGAAATAAATGAAATAGAGAATAGAAAACAATACAGAAAAATCAATGAAACCAAAAGTTAACTCTTTGAAAAGATTGACAAAGTTGACAAACCTAGAATAACCAAGAAAAAAAGAGAGAAAACTCAAATTACTAAAAGCAGGAATGAAAAAAGGGACATTACTGACTTTACAGAAATACAAAGGATTAAAGGAAATACTATTAACAATTGTATACCAACAAATTAGATAATCTAGACTAAATGGACACATTGCTAGAAAGACCCAAACTGCTGAAATTGACTCATAAAGAAATAGAAAATCTGAATAGACCTATAACAAAGAAATTGAATTAATAATTCAAAAAATTCCTCACAAAGTAACACCCAGGATCAGATGGCTTCACTGGTGAATCATTCTACCAAATGTCTGAAGAAGAATTAAGAGCAGTCCTTCCCAAAAAAACTGAAGATGAGGAAACATTTCCCAATTTATTCTGAGGCCTGATACCAAAACCAAAGCCATCACAAGAAAAGACCAATATTTCTTATGAATATAGACACAAAAATCCTCAGCAAAACACTAGCAAACCAAACCCAGCAACATACGTTGTTGTTAGGTGCCATCAAACCGATTTTCAACTCCTAGTGACCCCATATGACAGAGTGGAACTGCCCCATGGGGTTTTCTTGGCTGTAATTTTCACGGAAGCAGATTGACAGGTCTTTCTCCCAGGAACAGCTTCAGTTAGCAGCCAAGCTCTTAACCATTGTGCCATGCGGGCTCCTTTAACAGACCTGGGGGAAGGGAAATATCCAACTCCAGCCCCTTCTAGCCTTCCTGTTTCACTTAAGGGATGAAGAAAAGCTGAGAAGCACTTGGGAAGTGCCCCTGGGCTATGACCTTATCATAGGTAAACAACGGGACATTTGTGAGTCTTATTTAAGTCCTATGGAGAAGGGTCGTTATTTGTAGTAAGCCATTTTCCAGAACACAAAGGATAGAGGGATTTCTTCAACCATCGCTATTTTCCAGGATCAAAAGTTTCAGGTAAAATTCAACATCGTCACTCTCAAGATAGAAAATAAAAACAAAGCAAAGCTAAAAGGCTTTCAGTTGGACCATCTTGTGGTCAGACTTACCACAGCCCAGTGCTCTAAGCTCACCCCTAAACCATGTAGTTTCTGTTTCTTGGAGCCCTATCGGGAAGAGTGCTAAACTGTTGGGTGTAAGGTCATCAGCACTTTGTAACCTCCAGGATTCAAAGTTGAAGTGATACCCCCCCACCACCATTTACCTGTTTCATTTTGGCCACATTCCAAGTTTAAGGGCATTGGGATCTTTTTTATATATAGCTACATCATGCCAAAGGGTTAAAGATTAATTATTTGCATAGATAAAGAGTTTTAACATTTTAAAGGGACATTTGCTTTGTTGCAAGTATAAGGTGAACCTGCTAGTAGCTCAGGAAAGTCATTCTCTGTCTCTCTTTTTTTTTTTTTTAAATAATATTTGATTGAGTTTTTGGTGAAAGTTTACACAGCAAGTTAGGTTCCCATCTGACAATTTTCACACAAATTGTTCAATAACATTAGTTACATTTATCACAATGTGTCAACATTCTCTTTATAATTGCGTTCAGTTTGTTCCGTTTCCACTACTCTAGTTTCCCTGCTGCCTTATCTTCTCATTTTTGCATTTAAGTAATTGTTGGCCTTTTGGTCTCATACTTTTTTTTTTTTTTTTGGTGCTTTAGGTGAAACTTCACAGCTCAAACGAATTTCTCATTCAAAAATTTTTACACATATTGTTTTGTGACATTGGTTGCCATACCCACAATGTGACAGCACACTCCCCCTTTCCACCCAGGTTTCCTGTGTCCATCCATCCAGTTCCTGTCCCTTCCTGCTCATACCGATGGTTTTTAAGTAGAGCACCAATCTCATGGGTAATATCCTTTATTTTGTATACCACTCATCTACTTCGCTAAAAGGTGATCTCAGGGGATAGGCTCAGTTTTAGGTGTAAAGAGTGTCTCAGGGCGATAGTCTCAGAGAGTCCTCTGTTCTCTACTGTTCCAGTTTGTCTGGCTTTTTTTTTTTTTTTTTTTTTTAATAATAAATTGAATTCTGCTCCATATTTTTCTCCTGTTCTATCCAGGACCAACTATTGTGACTCCAGTCAGAATGTTCACTGGTGGTAGCCAGGCACCATCTAGTTCTTTTGGTCTCAAGGTAGATGAGGTTGTGGCCCATGTAGACTTGTTTCTTCTCTGTGCTTTTGATTACCTGCTTACTATTTTGCTCCTGGTAAGGAAAGACCCATAGTTGTGTATTAGATGGCTGCTCGCAAGCTTTTAATACCCCAAACACTACTCACTTCACTAGGATGCAAATCATGATTTTTGTGAAGTATGTTATGCCAATTAACTGTGCTGTCCCATAAGACTATGTGCTAAGTCTTTAAACCTAGAATGAAGTGAACTTCTTAGGGGAAGGGAAGAAAACTCTCATATCACAGGTGCAAGTGGCCACCAGTGGAGCCCTGGTGGTGCAGTGGTTAAGAGCTATGGCTGCTAACCAAAAAAGGCTGGCAGTTTGAATCCACCAGCCGCTCCCTGGAAACCTACAGGGCAGCAGCGTGTTTGGTTTTGGAGAAAATACCTAGACCATAGTCTATTAAAGCTCGTCGTGGCCACCTGAAGACAGGGGACCTAGAGACCAGAACATCATGATTGCCGCTGAAAGTGCCTACTTGCCCCCAACCCCTTGTTAGGAAAGCTGCCTCACCCGTGGCTAATGCTTTAGAAAACAGCTATGCTTTATATCACGTGACCTCCCTCCCACCGAGCAGACTGGCCAGTTGTCCCAAGGGGAGCCCATCGTGAGGCTGGTGCGGAGATGAGGCCAGCCCCGCGGATCCGCCAATTGCAGCAAAGTGCTGGCCTCCCGGGGCCGCCCATCAGGGCGCGGGGCTAGGGGAGTGGCCGCGGCTGCCTACCCTAGAATACATCGCCGCCCAGACCTGAGCCTACTGCCGCCCCAAGTCTGTACCGCTCCCTCGCCATGGGCCTGGAGCTCTACCTGGACCTGCTATCCCAGCCCTGCCGAGCCGCCTATATCTTCGCCAGGAGGAACGGCATCCCCTTCGAGCTGCGCACCGTGGAGCTGCTCAAAGGTGTTAGGCTGAGAGGGCAGAAAGGGCTGCAAGGCCAGACCTCCCTTAGGGGAACCCTCTATTCCTTCATGTAGCGTAGGCATGAGTTTGGAGACCAGGCCCAAGAGGGCGAGTCACCAGGGAGACCCTTCAAACTCTGCTGAGTCTCATGGAAAGAAGACAGGGCTCAACTGAAGCCGAATAAAGGGAAAGGAATGTGAACAGAGGAGAGACGTGGCAAACAGGAGAGGGTGAGAGCAGGGCATGGAGATAGAGGACCCCCAAAAAGATTGCGCGGAAGAGAGGGGTCGGGGGCGGAGGAGCAAGCTGAGAGATTGAGGCAGAGCTGTCTCTCCTTGTAGACTCTGATTGTTGGGATCCGCAGTAGCAGGAAGGTGAGGCTTCCCCTGTCTGAGGGTGGAGACAGGCCCCTCCCTCCCCACCTGACCTTTACACTGGCCCAGTCCCCATTGGGGCCCCCTCTGTCCCTTCCTCTTTTTGCCCCCCTGCTTTGCTTTTCCTCTGCCTCTCTTGCTTCTGCCAGGGAGGGGAGCATCCCAGGGGGCTGCTGTAGCTTCGGGCCCCGGCACGAACTCTGGTATGCTGGGATCAGGAGGGGGACAGCGGCTTGGTAGTCCTACACCCTTGGTCCTTGAGGCCCCCGAGGTTCCCAAGGACACAGCTGGCAGGGTGGGGCCTAGCAGGGGGGTAAGGAACGGGGAGGGATGCACATCCCCAGTGTCACTGGGTGGACACAACTGTGGTCTGCCTGCCAGACTTGTGCCTTTGACTTCCCTCCCTCTGCCTGAAGTGTCGTCATCCCATCCCTGCCTCCTCTGAGGACTGCCCGCTTGTCCTGCAGGGGTTACCTGTGCAGAGTGCAGCCAGGGAGAGGCAGAGGAGGGGGGAGGACAAGGTGGAGGTGCAGGGGGAGGAGTGCACACCAGGAGAGGAGGGGAGGGTGCTCCTGGTGAAGGAACAGTCTGAAGAGGGGAAAGGAAGGGTAGGGGATGTGGCTGAAGCTGGAGGGTCAGGGGACCATGTATGGCTGTGAGGAGCTTCCACCTGACTGTGGGGTAATGGGGAGCCACCAAGGGCTGTGGAGCAGGGCAACGATAAGATTTAACTGCCCATCAGAAGCTTTTCTCTGGCTGCATCTGCAGGAACAGAAACCACCGGATGAGCTTAAGCAGAAGCCATGGTCCCAGGGGACACTGGACATTACCTTTCAGGGGGCTGTGGGTGGGGCAAGAAGTCCTACTGTCCCAGCTTCAGCAGAGCCTCAAGGCAGGGCCAGAGCTGTGTCCCCAGTGCCCAGGGTAGGATAGGCAAGGGAACATAGAGATCAGTAAAAGTTGGCTATGAGTAAATAAACCAAAATAAACAAACCAGCCGCCATTGAGTTGACTCCAGCTCATGGTGACCCCATGTGTGTCAGAGTAGAACTATGCTCCATAGAGTTTTCAGTGGCTGATTTTTCAGAAGTAGCTTGCCAGGCATTTCTTCCCAGGTGCCTCTGGGTGGACTCGAACTGCCAGCCTTTTGGTTAGGAGCTGAATGCTCACAAGTCAATAGATAGCAGGAAAAGGCCACTTCTCTGTGACTAGTGACCCTTCCCTAGAGTCTGGGAGGAGGTGCTCCACTCGGGTTACCAACCACCCTGCCCCTGCAGCTTGGGAACCCTGAAGCTGGCAGTGGTAGAAAGGAGGGTGAGTGGGTGCAAAGAGCACCAGGGCAGGGATGGGCCCCAGGCCAGCTGGAGCACTTGGCCCTGCACAATGAGCTTCTTGGAGAGGATTGGCAGCGGGAGAAGGGCAGTGAGAGGCTGTGTCCATGCAGACTTGGCAAGGGAGGTAGAGCCATTTTCCCACCAGCTGGAAGAGCAACTGGCCCCTCCTCCTGCAGTGGCCTCACTCAGTCTTTGCCATGTGGGAAGTAGCCCAGGGCCTGTAGAAAGCCATGGACTTGGGGTCTGGGCATGGCAGGGAGTGGGCCCAGGCCATGGAAGACTCAGTGTCCCACTCATGCTGATCTCCCCCACAGGCCAGCACATCAGTGATGACTTTGTCTAGGTGAACCCCCTGAAGAAGGTGCCAGCCTTGAAGGACGGTGACTTCACCTTGACAGAGAGGTAGCTGAGGCCCCAGGGCCACTGCCAGCTCTCTCTGCAACTGTCCTGTCCTAAGCCTCTATTTTATGGAGATGAGGACTGAAGTCCTCAGGGGTGGAGGGCCGTTTGCCTAATGTCCCACTGAGAACGAGGGCTGGGACCCAGGCCTTGCCTGCCTGCTGGTCCCATTCACAAGGATGGCCGGAAAAGCAAGCATCTGACTTTACTTCTGCACCAACCCTTTGGTTGTTGGTGAAAGTATCCCCAGGGCATCGGGCACAGGGCAGGACAGGGGAGGGTTACAGCTTCACCCAAGTAAAGCACTGCTATGGAGGGGCAGCCCTCTTGCCAAGCTTGGGTTGAGATGGCCCAGAGGAGTGTAGGCTTCCCAGTGGCTCCATCTCTGGGTGCAGCATCCCCAGGTGGGGCCTTTTGAGCTGTGGGTGGGGCAAGAAATTCAACTGTCTCAGCTTCAGCAGAGCCTGAAGGCTGAGATAGGGCTGTCTCTAGTGCCCAGGGTGTGGTAGGCACCAGCAGACGTGTGGATGACATGTAGGAGAACTTCCCTGTAGGAGAACCACCTGACATGTGGATGTTTCACATCACAGCAGGTCCCCCCAAAACTGAGACCTCTTCAAGGAAGGTCATACTATTTCCTGGTTTTGCCCCTTGTCACCTATGTCACTCTAAGGAGGACTTGGAGTTTGTGTTTTAGAGCTTGTCTCTAAAATCTCAAAGTAGATGCACACCCAGGGAATTCCTCTGACATGCTGCCAGCTCCATTCTCCTTGCTGGTGCCCTTAATGTCCTGGTCCTTGTGCTTGTCCATGCCCAGCACCCTCCGTACAGCAGGGGAAGCATGCAGTCTCTGTATTCACTCACCTTTGGGAGCTCTGTGGCTCACAGGAGCCTGTGGCCCTCATGTAGGGGGAGGCTTGACTAATTAGCTAGGACCAAAAAGGCAGTACAGGGCATCCTGCAAAGACGACCAAGCCATTAAGCAGAGGCTGGGTATAGGATTTGTGGTAGGGAATGTGTGCCAGGGGCAGATTCAGAACCTTCCTGCCCTTTAGGCTCAGATGCCCAGCCACATATGCTGCAAGTTCTGGAAAGCTTTCCAGTGGTCCCAAATTCACACATCCTTCGTGTCTTCCAGGCCCATCCCCATCCCAACACCATGTTCCACGTTTGTAACCAAGAGCCTTGTCTTTGCTGCTGCCCCACTGTCCTGCAGCACCCCCAGTATTTCCTGAAGGATGCTTTAGGGAGCTGAACTATCCCATTTGGTTTAGGCAGATGTTCTTCCTGGCAGAAAGAATGACATAACAAAGATCTGACAAGAAAGCCTTAATGAAAAATAAGGCCACTTGAAGTTGGTCTGAATGCCAGATGATGGGATTAGATGCAAAATGGAAAGAATTGGGCTTCGTTTATGGCTTAGCTTTGATGCCATCTCCCCTAGAAAGCTCTCTCTAGTCCTCCGATCAGAAACTCTGAACACTTGGCAGGACACTCCGCTATGGGATTTTGCCGGGTATTAGGACAAGCCTGGACATTAACCTCTGAAAAACGCTCAGCTCTGCCGCTTAAGGGCTGTGTGCCCTGGGGCAAGTCCCTTCACTTTTCCAAGCCTGGTTTCCTTGTCTGGAAAATGAGGATAATACATTGGCAGATTGTCAGAAGATTATAGAAGGTACTCTATAAAGCACCTAGCACAGTGGCCTTCCCCCACTAATCATGTCCCTCCCTCAGTGTGGCCATCCTGCTGTACCTGGCCCGCAAGTATAAGGTCCCTGACCACTGGTACCCTCAGGACCTGCAGGCCTGTGCCCTTGTGGATGAGTACATGGCATGGCAGTACACAACCCTGAGGAGAAACTGCCTCCGGGCCCTGTGGCATAAGGTGAGGTCCTGGTGGTGGTGTGGGGGGACAGAGGGCATCACCCCAGAGGGGCTCAGGCAGCATTCCATTCTTTTCAGTCTGGATAATTTCTATTGCTCACTGTTTCTTCTGCTGTGCCCAGGTTGCTGTTAAACCCATCCAATGAATTCTTTATTTCAGATATGTATTTTTTAGTTCTAGAATTCCCCTGATTCTTTTTAAGGGTTTCCATTTCTCTGCTGAAACTCTCGATCTCTCCACCCATTTTGTCTGTCTTTTCTTCTAAATTCTTTAACATATTTATGATAGTTATTTAAAAGTCATTATCTGCTAATTAATACCTGGGTCCTCTGTGGGTCTGTTTCTATTGATTGTTTTTTCCCTCTTGATAATGGGTCACGTTTTCCCACTTCTTTGCATGTCTCATAATTTATTATTGTATGCTGAACATTATAAAAGAAGACTAGAGATTGAAGTACATGATAAATACCTGCAGGAAGGGCTTGCACTTTCCTCTGTCATACAGCCTGGGTGAGATGCTAATTTTTTTCCAGCTAATCAGGAGTTGGGCTGGGTTGCTGCTTTAGTTAATCTCTTATTAATAAGTTCATCTCCTTTCAAATCATCTCTGGTTTCAGATATTTTGAGGGTGGGATCAGGTTGCTCACTCCAAAAGGGCTTTGAAATCTTAAGCACCAACTATGACTATAAGATCTACTTTTCAGTCCCAGCCGCTGTTCCCCACATTGCTGCTTGGTCAGAAAAGCCCTTTGTCTATGGCAGCCTTGCTCCCCTGCCTGCCAGGGTCCCAGGGATGAAAGTGGCTTATTTAAGAAGGGCTCATGCCTCTCTGGAATTTAGTTCCCTTAGCCCAAACCGAAAACCAAACCCATTGCCAGTGAGTCGATTCTGACTCATAGCACCCCTATAGGACAGAGTAGAACTGCCCGATAGAGTTTCCAAGGAGTGGGTGGTGGATTTGAAGTACGGACCTTTTGGTTAGCAACTGAGCTCTTAACTACTGCCCTAGCGCTGTCCAATAGAAATATAAAACAAGCCACATATTTAATTTAAAATTTCCTAGTTGTTGTTAGCTGCTGTCGAGTTGGCACTGACTCATGGTGACTCCATGTGTTACAGAGTAGAGCTGCTCCATAGGGTTTTCTTGGCTAAAATCTTCACAGAAGTAGTTCACCAGGCTTTTCATCTGCGGAGGTGCTAGGTGGGTTCGAACCACTAGCCTTTAGGTTAGCACAAACTGCTTGCACCACCTAGCCTCCTAAATTTCCTAGTAGACACATTAAAAAAATAAAGAGAAACAGGTGAAATGGGTATAATTTGCTTAACCCAATATATTAAAAATATATTTTAACATATGTCTTAGTTACCTAGTGCTGTCATAACCAAAATACCACAAGTGGGTGGTTTTAAAGAAGAAAATTATTATTTTCTCACAGTTGTAGAGGCTAAAAGTCCAAATCAGGGTCTCAGTCATGTTGATTCCTTTTGTGAGCCTCTCCCTTAGTTTCTGGTGTCTGCTAGTGATCCTTGGCCTTCCTTGGTGTTCCTGGGGTTCGTTGGTGTCTGTTATACCCCTATTTATGTCTCTATGTCTATTCTGCTCTTTGGATAACTCAGAAGTGATTAGTTTTAGGGCCCACCCAACCCTGTATAGCCTTGTTAACATAACAAAAAACCCTATTTCCAAACAGGGTCATCCTTACAGGTGCAGGGATTAAGATTTTAACACATAAATTTGGGGTACACAGTCCAATCCATAACAACATGTAATCAATATAAAAATTATTAATGAGATATTTTACGTTCTTTTTTTGTACAAGGCTTCAAAATTCAGTATATATTTTACAGGTACATACCCATCTCAATTTGTTGTTAGGTGCTGTCAAGTTGGTTCCGACTTATATCAACCCTGTGTATAATAGAATGAAGCACTGCCCGGTCCTGCGCCATCTTCACAATCATGGCTGTTTGAGCCCATTGTTGCAGCCACTGTGTCAACCCATCTCGTTGAGGGTCTTCCTCTTTTTCGCTGACTCTCTACTTTGCCAAGCATGATGTCCTTCTCCAGGGACTGGTCCCCCTGATAACGTGTCCAAAGTAAGCAAGACGAAGTCTTACTATCTTTGCTTCTAAGGAACATTCTGGTTGTATTTCTTCCAAAACAGATTTGTTTGCTCTTCTGGCAGTCCATGGTATATTCAGTATTCCTCACCAACACCGTAATTCAAATGTGTCAGTTCTTCTTTGGTCTTCCTTTTTTATCGTCCAGTTTTCGCATGCATAGGAGGTGATTGAAAACTTCATGGCTTGGGTCAGGCACACCTTGGTCCTCAAAGTGGCATCTTTGCTTTTTAACACTTTAAAGGGGTCTTTTGCAGCATATTTGCCCAATGCAATACATTTGATTTCTTGACTGCTGCTTCCATGAGTGTTGATTTTGGATCCAAGTAAAATGAAATCCTTGATAACTTCAATATTTTCTCTTTTGTTTTTCATAATGTTGCTTATTGGTCCAGTTGTAAAGATTTTTGTTTTCTTTATGTTAATAAAGTGTAATCCATACTGAAGGCTGTTTTCTTCGATCTTCATCCCTAAGTGCTTCAAGTCCTATTTGCTTTCAGCAAGCAAGGTTGTGTCATCTGCATATTGCAAGTTGTTTACGAGTCTTCCTTGAATGCTGATGCTGTGTGCATCTCAATTAGGACTAGTCATATTTCAAGAGCTCAGTAGCCACTTGTGAAAGTGGCTACCACGTTAGACAGCACAAGTTTAGGCTTTGTTTCCTTTGTCTTTCTTTCTTTTTTTTCTTCTTCCATATCTTTGATGGCTTAAGAAAAATAAGGTCTTTTTCTTTCCAGTGTCACTGTAGGAGCAGTGGTCTTTTGCAACATCTATATCCTAATCAGAAGTGGAACTCCTCATCTTTTAAAATACAGAAAAGTTTATAGCTAATTCTACCAGTTGCCATTGAGTCAAGTCCAGCTCGTGGCAAACCCCATGTGTATCAGAGTAGAACTGTGCTCCAGATGGTTTTCAGTGGCTGATTTTTTGAAATAGATCACCAGGCCTTTCTTCTGAGGTGCCTCTGGGTGGACTCAAACCACCAGTATTTTGGTTAGCAGCTGCGTGTTAACTGTTGCCATCACCCAAAGACTCCCATAGCTAATTCTAGATCATGGGTTTTATTGTTTTGTCTCATGTCATTTTTTATATAAAAAAGAAACATTAGAGAACAAAAATTGAATGATTTCTTTGTTGTTGTGACTCCTTCCTGAAAGGCCACCACTGTTTGGGATTGAGTGCCAGTCCTTCTGTGTTGGCTTAGCTGGGCCTTGGAAGAAAGGTGCATGGAACTAGGAGGCAGTTCTCAGGGGTCTTGCATTCCTGGCTCCCCAAGGCTGGGTTGGCCCCAACACCCTCTTGGCCTGCCCCCCTACCAGGTGATGTTCCCTGTCTTCCTGGGTGAACCACTGTCTCCTGAGATACTGGCAGCCACACTGGCAGAGTTGGATGTGACCCTGCAGCTGCTTGAGGACAAGTTCCTGCAGAACAAGGCCTTCCTTGCTGGGCCCCACATCTCCCTGGCTGACCTGGTGGCCATCACGGAGCTGATGCACGTGAGTGCTATGGGCAAGGTGGAGGCCCAAGGTGGTTGCTAAAGTCTTGCTTATGCTTCCTCTGCCTAGGGTGGGACTGTGTTGATGTGTGGAGACCCCTTCGGGAGCTCTGTGTCCCTAAGGCGGGTAGATGCTGCCTGTCCCTGGCCTCTCCTATCATCCCTATCCTGTTTCCTTCTCTCTACAGCCCGCGGGTGCTGGCTGCCAGGTCTTCGAAGGCTGACCCAAGCTGGCTGCATGGCGCCAGCGTGTGGAGGCGGCAGTGGGGGAGGACCTTTTCCAGAAGGCCCATGAAGTCATCCTGAAGGCCAAGGACACTCCACCTGCAGACTCCGCCACAAAGCAGAAACTGATGCCAGGGATGCCGGCCATGATCCAGTGAGCTCTGCCCTCAGCAGCTCACAAAGCACCTGCATTTTCATGATCCCACCAGAAGCAGATGCAGCAAGCACCTGGATCCCCTGGCCAGGGCCCTCCCCCACCATCTCTCTCCCACAGCTGCCTGTAAGACACCATGATAATGCACAGCCCTTCAAGGGCACACCCAGAGCTCCTCTCCTTTAATCACTGTTTTTTTATTTAAGTTTGGGTAATAAACCTGGGCTCAGCCTGTGCTTCTCCTTCTCACTCTGTTGTATGATTTATTTAACTTTCTTTCTGTCCTGGCTGTGTTCTTGATCTTTATTCAAAAAGCACTTTCCCTTCCTAGGCCCTGTGGGTCAGCTTTCCCCTGAATGTAGTCTTGAGTGAAATGAACAAATTCCCTTTAGCCTTCTACTCCTTGGGGAAAGTGACTTACCAGACCACACAGGGGTCAGCAGGCATACAACATGGGTTAGCAGTAGACATGTGGTTGATCAGTTTGCCAGGCTAGCCTCCAGGACATGGCTCTTCAGCATGAAGTACTTTTACTCATGAGTCCAGCATCTGTCCTAAGGAATTGGTAGCAAGCAGAAAATCCAAATAGCAGCTCTTCTAGTCAGCGCCCAGTCATGTAGGGCCTTGAATGCCATGCCTAGGCATCTGGTTGTAAGCTGGAAACAGGAATGGAGTACTCAGATTGCATTTTAGAAATAATATTCTGGCGAATGTTGGACAGGAGGGCAGCCAAAGAAGAAGCAGGGAGATTTGATATTGCAGTCATCTGGGCAGGGCAGGCCACTGAAAGGGGTGGAGGATGCACCCCTTCCCAGCGTGAGAGGGCCATAGCACAAGGTCAAGAAGGCCCCCTTGTGAGGCATAAGGCTTAAACGAAGAGCATGGGGGGCCAGGGCCCCGGGCCCCAGGGAGGCAAACATAGTTTCAGGTTTCCCAATAAGTGGTCATCTGGCCAAAGAGCTGTCTATGAACCTTGGGTTTGGTGACAGGGCCTTCTTACTCCGGGAGGCTCTCTTAAGGGTGTCATAGCTACAGGCCTCAGGAGCCCCAGGGTTGCAGTTGAGGGGACTTGGCCCTGGCAAAGGGGATAGGGGAAGTTCTGTCTCATCCCAGGCACGCCTGCTGGGCCCCACAGGGCTTCTGTCCTCTGCGGGAGGGATTAGCTAGATGTAGTGAATATGACCCCAAGGATTGGATAGGGCGCTTCGTTCCTGCTGGGCGGGGCTGGGGCGGGTCTTGTGGATGTACAGACACCCTCCCCAGCTTCTCCTAGGCTCCTCCTCCCTTTGTATTCGCAGGGCACCCCGAAGTCCCTCCTCTCTTGGCTTCCTCTCTGGATGGGGGACCAGGCTTGGGCAGACTGCAGGCAACCCTAAATTCACCGAAGGTCTGTGCTGGAAGTTCCCTTGATGACCACACAGCCCGTTCCCCATTACCACGGCCCCTGCCCCATGTGACAGAAGTGGACACTGAGATCTGGGGAAGGGGCATGACTTGGCATCGACATCCCAGTTCAAGAGCCCAAGTCTCCCTGTGCCCTCTTGGTCTTCAAGGAACCTCCAGCCCACCCCTGGAGAGGGAAGGCGGGGAGCGGGTGCTGTTGATTGGCTCAAAGTGTTGGGGAGTCAGCCAGTAGGTGAGGAGGGCGTGGCCGGCGCGGGCAAGGCTCCACGATTTCACGTTCCGGCGCGGTCGCTGTCCCTGCTGTCCCCTGTCCCCCGCCATGGGCCTGGAGCTCTATCTGGACTTGCTGTCCCAGGTCTGCCGCGCCGTCTACGTCTTCACCAAAAGAAACAGCGCGCCATGGAGCTGCTCAAAGGCGGGCTTGCGGGTGGCCAGGGGTTTGGGCCCCTGGGTGCAGGCGGACCCCACCCACCGGCGCCGCCAAAGACTAGCTCTCCAATTGGGACACTGCGCTTCAGTGTGTATTTTAAAGGGCCTCGAACCTTGTCTAATGAATGCAACACGTTCTTCAAAATATGGATTAAGACGGAGCAGAGCAGGTCTAGGGCTGCAGGTGGGGTAGGAGATGGGGAGGGAGGAGTGGGGTGAGGGCGTGGATACCCCTACACCCTGGCTTGGAGACAACAATGATGCTGCTATCTCTTTTCCTGGTTGGCGCAGGCCCCATCTTTTCAATGTCTGCATCTCTGGGCAGGAGAGGGTTGTCCCCCCTCCATCCCTACCAGAGGTCTCCCCTTTGCTCCTACCTGCCTAGGTCCTTTCCATTTCTACTTTTTACCTGTCTTTTTTCTGCTGCTTCTTTTTCTAGTTTCTGGCTTGATCATGGGGTGCTCCCACTAGCTGGAAGGGCTGCTAGGTCTGTGGAGGCTCAGGCCTGAGGACTGTGGGAAGCGGTGGTGGGGATGAGCACTCTGAGCTGTGTTGTTGGCTGGCCTGGCCGGCCTGGAGACACAGCTGGAGCAGACCCAAGTGGGGAGTCAGGGCTGTAACTGGACAATAGGGCCAACACCTGGGAGGGAGACCCCTTCTTGAAGGAGCCCTTCCACCTTTCACCCTTAGTTGTCCCCAGTCCAGGCACCCACTTCTGTACTGCCACCCTTGCTCTGACCTTCCTAGCCCTCCATGAGTCAGCGGCTGGGCAGAGGCAGTTTCTGGAGGGGGAATGGGCAGGGGTGAGGGCATCCACCTAGCAGAATGGCAAAGAGCCCACAGGTCAGCCAACGCCAGGCTGGAGCCTGGCCCCAGTAAGACCCATGGGGTCCTGTGACTCCACACACATTAACTGGGTACCTAGTGTACCCCTGGCCCTGGCCTGGGCTGGGGTATACAGAGGTGAGTTAGACCTGGAACCCCCATTGGGGAGGCTAGGGCAGGGCCTCCAAGGAGGAGCCCTAAGGGTTTGGCACAGGAAAGGGCAGTGAGCAGAGCTGCTGGAAGCTGGTTGGGTGGTGGGGCAGGCGTTCTGGTGAGAGGCTGGAGAGCAGGTGTGGCTGGAATTCTGGGGTTGTGGACAAGTCCTCCAGCCTGATCCAGAGGGCTTGGGATAGGAAGATAGAGTAAAAGGGACAAACCTCAAGCCCAGGGAGGAGGCTGGAGGGGCCCTGGACAGGGGTTTCTGACATGCATGGAATGGGGTACGGGCCTGCGTCCTGTACCCCAGCTAATCCCTTCTGCAGAGGACAGAATCCCTGTGGGGCCCAGCAGGGGTGCCTGGGATTGGACAGAACTTCCCCTACTCCCTCTGCCAGGACCAAGTCCCTCCAACTATAACCCTGGGGGCTCCTGAGGCCTGTAGCTATGATGCCCCTACTCCTTAACAGAGCCTTCTGGAGTGAGAAGACCAGGCCTAAATTGAGATCCTGCCTGGCCCAGCTCCAAGGGTGTGGGCATCAGAAGGGTGGACCTCTGGTGGGGTCAAGGTCTTGATCCAATGACCAGCAGAGTAGCCTCCTCTTCCCTTATGCAACTCCTGGATAGGGCCCTCAGGAAGTTGGTGCTTGGGCATTGGTGGGAGGTGGGCAGAGACCACAGGAGGCTCAGGACTCTCCTCCCCTGCCACCTCACTGGGCTCCCCTGCAGGCCAGCACCACAGCGACGCCTTTGCCCAGGTGAACCCCATGGGGAAGGTGCTGGCCTTGAAGGACAGGGACTTCACCTTGGCCGAGAGGTAACTGAGGATCCAGGCTGCTCCCAAGCCTTGTAGGCCAGCCAGCCATCTGCATGTCTCCTATTGATGGCTTGGATTGAGGCTTGTGTGCCTGAGCACCTGTGCCAGCCACAGGTAGAGAGCGGGCAGAGGCAACCAGGGTAGACAGGGCCATTGAAGTCATGGCATCCCCACTCTTTCCCCTGCCCTACTCTACACGTGGGGAAACTGAGGGTCAGAGAGGGGAGAGACTTGAACAAGGTCACAGGGTCCAGCCTACTTCCAGGCCAGCCCAGCCCTCGGAAGGAGAGCACTAAGTAACAGCAATGGCTGTACCAGGTGTCCCTGGGAGTGCAAACCGTGAATGCGCTTGTCTGCTAACCAAAAGGTTTGAGGTTTGAGTCCACTCAGGCACCTTGGAAGAAAGGCCTGGTGATCTACTTCTGAAAAATCAGCCACTGAAAACCCTATGGAGCGCAGTTCTACTCTGCACACATGGGGTTGCCATGAGTCAGAGTCAACTTGACGGCAGCTGGTTTGGTTTTTGGTTTTTATACCAGGCACTTTAGATCTACTGCTTCTCCCACCAATCCTGTGGGGCAGGCCCAATTTCAGTTCCCCCTAGAAAGATGAGCGAATGCCAGAGAGCTGCTTTTTCTTGAGCACTGGCTGGAGCCAGGCACAGTTATATCCCTGCAGGGAGAGCAGTGAGCAGAGCCCATGCCCTCCTGGAGCTCACAGTCTAGTGCAGGCTGGGGTGGGCGGGATTGGAGTGGGATGTTGAAGGAAGACTGCCCTGACCTGCAGGAATAGGGGGCACGTGGGGAAGAGTGTTTTGGGCAAAGGCTATGAGGTGGGGGATGCTTAGGGTGCAGGCAGGACAGCGGGGCGGCCAGCATGGCTACGGTGATAGGAGAGAGTAGGAGGGGAGGTCAGAAGGGACAGGGGAAGACGGTGAGGAGGGCCATTGGAAGTTCTGAGCAGAGGAGAGCTTTAAAGTGTCCCTCTGGCTGGGGTATGTCATGGGGAAAAAAGACCCAAGACTAAAATTTAATTAAAAAAGATTTTTATTAAGCAAAGAAAAAGACAATCATTACAACGAAGGCTCTGCCAGTGTGCACCAGGCACAAGACACTAGCAGGATCTACTGAATCACAATCAGAGAGTCTCTAATATACTATTACAGAAAGAAGTAAAGATACATCATTGTCAAAGGCAGGATAACAAAGTGGGACCTTAATAATGATTGGTTTACGGAGTTTTTGTTGACTAGTTACCTACTTAGTGACATTAGATTGTTTGGTGGCTTCCAGTTTTGTTTTAAGGCCCTTTGGGAACAAGCTAACAAAATTCTGATTGATACTTGGTGAAGTAAGATAGCTACTACTTGGTGATATGGGTGCTTTTTTGGTTAGTTACCACTTAACAACCATAGTGGGTCACAGAGGGGTCACTGGACATTCTTCTCTGGAAATGCAAAAGTTACATAAAAGCTCCTTGGCTTTGTTACAAGGAAAAACCATATTCTCTTAAATATTAGATAATAGAACTACACTAACCAGTTTAGCTTTCTGTCTACAAGTTTTCTACACAAGTGAAAGTGGACCCCACTTTTGCTTTGCTTACTCAGACCAGATGCCTTATAATAATTTTTAGGGTCTCCGTATCAGGTGGAAACAGAGACCCTGGTGGGAGGGAACTACAGTAGCCCAGGTGAGGGGTGCTGGGCTGCTGCTGGTGGTGCACGTGGGAGAAGTGATCAGTTGACTCTGTCTTGAAGGTCGAGCCACAGGGTTTGCTGATGGGTTAGAGGTGGGTTGGAGGGACAGGGGCTGGCCTGCAGGTTGGTGGTACGCTTTTGAAAGCTGGGATTCCACTCAGAGCCATTTGGCCCCAGAGCTTATCCTCTGGACAGTTTTATACCTGGGGCTCCAGGCTGCCAGGCCAGATATGATATGGGGAGAAGTGGGTGGAGGCTCTGGGTAGGTGGAACAGAGGTGGACAGGCCCCAGTGGCATCTGAGAGGCCTTCCTACCCCTGAGGAGAGTGCTTGAGGGCAGCTGGCCTGGTTCCTGGTGCTCTCCGTGCTTTGTCTGTCAAAGCTGCTCTCATCCTTCAAGACCCACGCCTGTCCTCTTGGAAGCCTCCCTGACCAACCCCCCTTCTGAATCCCCATGACATATCCTTTCCTACTTGGTGGCCTTGGTTCAGATGATGGGGCTGCCCAGTGTAGAGCTGTATGACCCCTGGCAGTCACCTCTCTGAGCCTCACCAACTTCCCCTGCACCATGGGGATAGTGAAATGACCCCCATAGGGCATGGGGAAAGAGCATGTGGTTAGCAGGGCCCACACTGCACTGGGCCTGGCCCCATGGGGTGACTGGGCATGCCCCCACCCTGCCATGTCCCCCCAGTGTTGCCATCCTGCTCTATCTGAGCCGCAAGTATGAGACCCCAGACCACTTGTACCCCCAGGACATCCAGACCTGTATCCACGTAGACGAGTACCTGGCATGGCAACACATGGCCCTGAGGAGCAGCTGCACCTGCACCCTGTGGCAGAAAGTAAGGCGTGGGGGGTGGGGCAGGCACCACCCAGGATGCTTTCTCTATAAAAAATTCTGTCAAACCTGAGTCCTTAGAACCGCCAAACTTTAGGATGCCATCTTAGTTATCTAGTGCTGCTATAACAGAAATACCACAAGTGGATGGCTTTAACAAAGAGAAACTTATTCTCTTACAGTTTAGGAGGCTAGCAGTCTGAATTTAGGGTGCCGGCTCCAGGGGAAGGCTTTCTTTGCTGACTCTGCAGGGAGGTCCTTGGCTCTTCTGAGCTTCTGCTCCTGGCTGATCTTCACGTGGCTTGGCATTTCTCTTCCCCCATCTCTGCTTCTTTTGCTTGCTTGTTTCAATCTCTTTTATATCTCAAAACTGATAGACTCAGAACACACTCTATACTAATCCTGTCTCATGAACATAACAAAGACAGCCCATTCCAAAATGAGATTATAACCACAGGCATAGAGGTTAGGATTTACAACACTTATTTTGGGAGGACACAATTCAATCCATAACAGATGTCAAGATTGCCTAGTCCAACCAACTCGTTTATCCAGAGGGGAAACTGAGGCACAGAGCCAGGGAGTAACTCCCCCAAGATGCCTCGATTCCTTACTATTGGTAGTTAATCCTATGCCCTTTTGCATAGTCCAGGCTGCCTGGGAGTATTGCCTTTTTGGGGAGAAAAAATTCAATTTCTCGTCTTACCACTTCCCTCAAGTCAACCTAGAGTCATGGAGACTCTATGTGTATTGGAGTACAACTGTGCTCCATGGGTTTTCCATGGCTAGTTTTTCAGAAGTAGATCACCAGGCCTTTTTCCAAGGTGCTTCTAGGTGGACTCGAACCTCCAACCTTTTCGTTAGCAGCTAAGCATGTTAACCATTTGTACCACCCAGGATTCCTGCTAATCAAAATGTGGTTCATGGAGCAGTAGCATCAGCATCACCAGGAGCTTGTTGGAAACGGAGTCTCAGGCCCGCCGCAGACCCACTGATGAAGCCCCACTTTAACCAGATCCCAGGGGGATTTACATGCGCATTTGTGCTTGAGAAGCCTGGTGTGTAGTAGTAGGTGGGCAGTGGGCAGTGGGCAGAGGATGACTGCTGCACTGGGGCGGGTCTTGCATTGAGGCCTTTGTTGTGAGGGTAGTAGGGAGCCACGGAAGGCTTTATGCAGGGATAGAATACAGGCAGATTGGGATTGCAAAAGGATCCCACTGTCTACACTGCACGAGGACCCAGGGAGAGGGAGAGGTTGTTGCTGTGTCTGAGATGATGAGAGGCCTGGGCTGGCAGTGGCCATGGGTGGAAGGAGTTGGGGAGGGCGGTGAGGAGAAAGTCAAAGGCCTGGTGATGGATCAGATAAGGGGGGAACCACACTGGGCTTTGGGCAGGTCCCTGACCCCTCGCTCTGCCTGTCTGCCCACTAGGTGGTGTTCCCTGTGTTCCTGGGTGAGCCAGTGCCTCCTGAGACACTGGCGGCCAAGCTCGCCAAACTGGACAGGTGCCTGCAGCTGCTTGAGGACAAGTTCCTGCAGAACAAGGCCTTCCTTGCCGGGCCCCACATCTCTGTGGCTGACCGGTGGCCATCACGGAGCTGATGCACGTGAATGTGATGGGTGGGGTGGCCTGCTGGGCAGTGGTGTGCCCTAGGTGGGAGCTGACATCCCAAGTTCCTGGCTGTGGGACCCTGAGCAAGTCACTTCACCTCTCTGAGTCTTGCTTGATGTCTTCAACTGTAAAACAGGGCTTCACTACCCCACCCCGCAGAAACGTGGAGGAGCCTCCCAGTGTCCTCTAGGAGGGGACCCTCAGCCCCTCACACATGTGAGAGAGGAGGGAAAGTCTACGCGGGGGAGCCCTGAAGCAGGCCTGCTGTCTGTGTGTGGCTGCATTTAGCTCCTTCGCCCAGCTCCCTCTCCTCACAGCCTGTCAGTGCCGGCTGCCAAATCTTCGAAGACCGACCCATACTGCCTGCACGGCGCCAGTGTGTGGAGGCCGCGGTCCGGGAGGACCTCTTCCAGGCGGCCCATGCAGTCATCATGAAGGCCAAGGACCTGCCTCCGGTGGACCCTTCCATGAAGAAGCTGAGGCCCTTGGTATAGATTTTATTGCAGTGAATGGTGGCCCAGCCTGCAGGGCCACCCACAGAGGCTCTGTGTGGTCAGAATAAAGAGATGTGGCTGCCTCTCCTTGACGGGGAGCAACACATACCTGCATGGTTTATTGTCCACAGTTCCCTCCATGCTTTCTTCCTTCTTTTTCTTCCCACTCTAGTCAGTCATTCCCACCAGCTTCCACATGACCTCTAGAAAGAGTATTGTTGTTGTTAGCTGCCATAAGTTTGGCCCCCCACTCATGGGGACCCCATGCACAACAGGATCAGACTGTTGTGATTCATAGTGTTTTCACTGACTGATTTTTGGAAATAGATTGCTAGGACTTTCTTCCTAGTCTGTCTTAGTCTGGAAGCTCTGATGAAACCTGTTCAGCATCATAGCAACTCACAAGCCTCCACTGACAGATGGGTGGGGCTGCACGTGAGGTGCCCTGGCTGGGAATTGAATCTGGGTCTCCAGCACGGGAGGTGAGAATTCTACCACTGAACTACCTGAGAAAGCATTAGTGAACACATCTTTGGTCGCGTTCCTCCACTGTTAAACCTTCCTGCCTCCTCACTGCTAGGAGGCTAAAGTGCAAGCTATTGAACTTTGCATTCAAGCTGCTGCCCCAACCCTCCAAGCACAAACGGGGTCTGTCATTTCCAGGCCTTGGCTCATGCTGTTCTCTCTGCTCAGAGGGTCTCTCCTCACCTTTGTTGCCTGCTGGCCCTTCCTGGTCTTTTGGCATTTTGCACTACGTCATCTCTCTAGGGAGACTTCCTGACCTCCCCAACCCCAGGCCAGATTGGGAACCCCTCTTGGCTCCTTAGCCCCACTACTCCCTTCTCAGTCCTGGCAGGGAGCAGGTTAACCTGGCGGGGGAAGAAATGTCTGAACCGGGAATAGCCGAGGTCTCAGAGGTCTCTTCTCCCACAGTGGGGGGTGCAGGACTGGGCCGTGAACCTCCCTGTGTCCCAGGCTATTCCCTTGTTCTACAGGGATAGCACGCAGCCTTGCTTTCCCATGCCTACCTGTAACCGAAACCAGTTATCTTCTCCAGGCCCCCCTCTGGGCCCCAGACTTTCAGTCTGTCCCTGCTCTCTCCCCTCAGGATTGTCACCACCAACCTGTCTTGTCTTCTAGACACTCTGACATCTGAGTCATCTGATAAAGAGCTAATGGGACAGAGTTATGAATGAAGACAGAGCCTGTTTGCTCACCTACCTTCCATGGAGGCTTCTTGTATAGGTACAATTATACAGAATGTGACATGTAATTCCAATTGTTCACACAAAATTTCAGTGGTGTTCTCAATCAAGTCAGGTTTGCAACACTGATGAAAGAACAAGAGAGAACCATGTTTAGTCATACCAACAGACATCCATATTTTAAATCACATCTATGGTTTTTGACTATAAAAATACAGACTAGGGTAAACACTGCTGGGAGTGTAGCTGGGCCCCGGCCCCACTCCTGGTGGAAAGTGGTTCACTCAGAGGATAGAGAGGCCACAGATGCAGACACATGTCGGCGGCGGGGCCGGGGGGTGCGGTGGGGGTAGAGGGGGTGGTGGGTGCAGTGAGTACCCAGGTCTCCTGATTGTTCAAGAGAAGTGCAGATTCCGATGTTTAACGTGAAGTCTGAGTTTAAAATGGTGGCAACTCATTCAAAAAAATTTTCTTTTAACCCTTGTGACGAGGAAGGGCCTTACAAGTGGGTGTGTGTGCTTGCAGGGATTCAGACCTCCATTCAAAAACGAATTAGGAAGCGGATAGCCGCAGCGCCCCAACGCCAAAGGACCCGGACGCCTACAGCCTACAGCGGCTGCGACGGGTGAGATATGCAGCAGGACCGGTGCTGAGGCACCGTGGCCGGGGCCACGGCTTGGTACGCTGTTCCGCGTGGCGGGTCATGGGACTTCCGGAAATCAGCGCCCATGCACGTGACGGTTGTGGGCGAGGCCAGGGCGCAGCTTTGGTAGCCAATCAGGCAGCGCTGCTCAGCCAATGAGGAGCTCGGTTTCCATGGCGCCCGGTTGTCTCCCTGTTCTGCGACGTTCTGGAACTCCAAGCGAAACTCTGCGGTTACACACTCAGTCGCGGCCACACATCGTGCAGCCGACATGCCGTTTTTGGAGCTGGACACGAATCTGCCAGCTGACCGCGTGCCTGCAGGGCTGGAGAAACGGCTCTGCGCGGCTACCGCCGCGATCCTGAGCAAACCCGAGGAGGTGAGCGTGGGCCGTGGCAGGCGGGGAGGCTGCTGGGCCCCCCCGTGACCCCTTGGTCCTTCTTTCGAGCATCGCCCGCCTTCCCCCTTGATCGCCTGCGACTGGGACGCCGGGTCCTCCCACGTAGGCTTCGTGTTGCCCCTCCCAGCTATGACCGCGTCATGATCTCCGAGGACTCCGGCCCGACCCCCAGTCCCGGCCCCGCGCGTCTCCGCTCCTGCTCGCCCCGGCCTTAAGGGAGACTTCTGTGCTTCTCGCAGCGCGTGAACGTGATGGTGCGGCCCGGCCTGGCCATGGTGGTGAACGGCTCCGCAGAGCCCTGTGCGCAGCTGCTCGTGTCCTCCATTGGTGTGGTGGGTACGGCCGAGGAGAACCGCGGACACAGCGCCCACTTTTTCGAGTTCCTTACCAAGGAACTGGCCCTGGGCCAGGACCGGTGCGTAGTGGCGGGAGGGAGCCCTTTTCCCGGCATTGCCGGGGCTGCTGTGAGACCAGGGCAGTGGTCCCATCTCAGGGCCTTTTCGTAACATTGGGGAAAAAAATACATTACTCGCCCTGCCCAAGAAGGACACATCAGGGCCTCCGATACCCGGGGTCCTTTGACCCCTGGGGCTCTATGGTGGTGGGTCCACCTGCAGAATGGCTGCCCAATTGAATGCATTTGTGGATCTGCTGTGGGCAAGGTGTGGCTTCTCGGCTCAGTGTCTTTGTCTATGCCTGGGAAGGTTTGCCTTTACTCACTTTCTGGGGGCATTGTAAGGGTCGTATGGGATGGTCTGGACACTGTACCTGCTTCGGCACGTGGCAGGGTAGGATGTTGTTACTGGAGGTAGTCATAGCCATTAATATCTATCTCTAGGTCTGTCTCTTAAAAAATCTGCAGTCTGGTTTTCTATAACTTTTTCAGGCTGTCAGGAGGAATTCTGGATATGTCCTCCCACTGTGACCTTTGGGCCTATGGCCCAACCAAGTCCCAGGTGGAGGCTCCCAGGATGGTCACAGGTCACAGAGTGGTGGAAAAAGCATTGGCTTGGGTGTCTGGAGACTTGAGTTCTGGGCCCAGCACAGCTGGGGGACCCCAGACAGACCCGGCTATGAGCCATCTAAGGTTTGCAACTTCCTGTTCTGTGAATAGAGCGGGATGGATTAAATGACCCTCCAAGAGGTGCCTACAGCCCCCAAACCTGGGACTCTGGCAGGGTTGAAATTTCTTCCTGGATGAAAAATATTCCTGGGCTAAGTCCATGCCTGTGAGGAACTAAGGGCAACAGAAACTTGAAAGGATATGGTCCAGAATTGAGCCTTTACTGGCCCAGGAAGTCTAGTAGAGTGGCTATTCCTGATGGAAGCTTAGACCTTGTCCCCAAGCTGTAAGAATGCTAATAATAGGTAATGGTTGAATGCTTACTATGGGCCAGGTACTTTTCATATGTGATTTCATTTGATCATTTCAAGCCTTCCCCATGAGGAAGATACCTCCATTATGCTGATTTTACAGATAGAAAAACTGAGGCCGTCACCCACCTTCCTGCCAGGCTATCCCAAGCCCTGGTGGTCTTCACCAGGAATGTCCCATTATCCTCTGTGATGGGCACATTCATTAAGTCCACAGACATTAGTGGGGGCCACCCTGTGCCTGGCATGGAGCCCAGCTTTGAGAAGACAGGTGGCTGAGGTATTGCGGTGCCCCCAGGGGCTTGTAGTCTGGAGGAGGGCTGCTGCTGAGACACAGTCTTAAAGAAATAAACATGCAGTAACCACAGAGGATGCCATGTTGAGGGTCTGTCCTGGCTGGGCAATGCCGATGTGCAGCCGCCATCATCAGCCCAACAGGCCCACCGCTCCGTCCAGTGGGTGGGGGAGGTCATTACTGGGGTGAGGCAGGCTTGCAAAGTGCCTGGTGGGCTGAGGCTGGTAGGCCTGGAGCCCATGGTGGGAGGTGCCTGGCTGAGCATCTTGGAATTTGAAGTGTAAGACAAGGAGCTGATGACATCTTTTTCTCTATTTTCTAAAGGATAATTATCCGCTTTTACCCCCTGGAGCCCTGGCAGATTGGCAAGAAGGGGACAGTCATGACTTTCTTATGATTGGCATGGAGGGCATCCAGGGCATGTGAGCTGGCTGCCTCCTCCAGAATGGCCTCGCAGCAGAGTGAAGGCCTGGTGGGTGCCAGCTTCTGGCACCCGCTTGTGCAGACATGCTGTAACCTCAAAGTCCTGCTCTTCCCAGTATCAAATAAATGAACAGAGATCTTTCTCCAAACATGACTGCTTTACTTCTCTGCATTCCCCCACCCCCAGCATTCTGGGCCTTCCTTGGCAGCAGACTTGGTTTATGGGGAGGGGAATGTAGGGAGCCTGGGAGGTGGGATGTTTCCTGTTTTTAGGGCAACTGTGTTCCATGTACATCAGCTCCTCAAATCTGAGGGTGAAGGGCTCAGCCTGGAGGCCCAGTGCTCATACCCCTGTGCAGGGCTGGCAGGCAGGGAGGGGTGGGCAGCTGGTCCAGCTTGCATCTTCCTGCAGACTCCCCTGACCAGATGCACCTGTCTTCAGCCTGGGGTGGTCTGGGTGGTTCTCCACCATACTACTGTGCCAGACAGAGGAGGAAGGCAGCCTGGGCTTCAGGGACCTTCCCTTGGTATTCCTGAGCACCACCTTCTCCCCTGACTCATACCAGTGTACCTTGTGAAACCCATGTCCCAGATGCCAAACCTGGAAATGTAATGTCTGCAACTAGAAACTGAGTGAATAGATCTCTGCCCCCCTGCCCCCCATCTAAATACTGTATCTTGCTTCCCCATTTCAGAAGATAGACAGGATGGGAGTAGCACAGAGGAAGTCTTCGTTTCAGTAGCTTCCCAGATGTTGGATGCAGAGTTTACATCTGTGACCACCTGGACATTGGTGGGCACTGTATTGCCCTGCAGTTAAAGGTTTGATGATCCTTGTCTTCAGTACACCATGGAAATACCAAATTGAGATTTTCAGCCTACTCAGTTTATAATGCTAGTTAATAAAGTTAGTTTCCAATGAAATATGCCTGTGCTTGCTGTTTGTACCTGACCACCCTTTAGGGCTGTTGTAAAAGCTAGACCTTAGGAGTTCCTTTCCGCTGGCTCACTGCCTGACCTGTTTCTGCACTCATTCTTTCAACCATGTGTTTTTTATGGGTCTCCTGCTTACTGGAGGAGTTGAGAGGATGTTTGTGGATTGAATTTGAATGCATGTGAATGAATGGTTGAGTGCCCAAGGATGGGATTCGGAACTGACCCTTTCTCAGGGACTGAATGTAGCAGTCTCCTATCTGGCCTCCCTGTCTTAAAATCTGCCATTCCCACTGTAGTCAGGGTGTTTGTCATCTACTTGCCTGCATGGCTGCCGCTCCCACCTCTCCAGTTTTCTTTCTCCACTTGTGGCCCGAGCTTTGCCTCCTGGTAATACTGTGTTACACAGTGGCTGCAACAATGGGCTCGAACATAGCAATGATTGTGAGGATGGTGCAGGACCGGGCAGTATTTCATTCTGTTGTACATAGGGTTGCTATGAGTAGGGTCACTATGAGTCGGAACGTACTCAGTGGCACCTATCCAACCAATACTGTGCTGCCCGAGGTTCCTGCATGATCTGCACAGACTACTCCCTTCTGCTAGGGCCGCCCTCCCCACCTTTTTTCAACTGTTTCACTCCAGCTCATTTTCAACCTATAACTCGGGTGGGAGCTGCATCCAAGGCTGCTTGTTATCTTCAAACTTTTGAAACCATCTGTTTATGCTTCTGTTCCCCACACTCCCCTTCCTCCAAGGCTGTACCCTTCAAGTGACTTAATTATTTTGTACTTCCTGGCTTATTAATAAAGCTTTATTGTACTGAACTGACTGTATTCTTCAGCATGATTTTACTGTCTTTAAATAAGGTCTAAAAGAAGGCCGTAACATTGATTTCTATTTAAAACATCCTTGTTGGCCTTAAACAGCTATGAATTCAACCACACTGTGAAGTCCTTCCTAAAATACTGTTTTTAGTTCCCAAGGCAGTGACTTTCCCAGTCCGAGACAATCATCAAGAAACCCTTCGATGATGAAACCTTTTTTTCCAGCTCTACAACGCTTCCCCTACCGAGACAGATAGGGTTAACTGTGCTGATGGAATAAAAAGAGCTGTTAAAAGATTACCAGTTGGAAGTTGGGTAAACCGGTACCATATCCTGTCAACATAAAATAAGGTTAAAAAAAACCCGGGAATTACTACTTCCCCCTCCTTACGGGCTCTGCAGGTGCAGAACAGTGTGTGACTGCTGTTTGATCTCCCTTGGCCCAGTACAGAAGATCAATGTGCTTGTGCCATATCCCATAATAAGTGATGCTGAGAGCTGCCGAGGGTACTCCGTCTTGAATATCAGCGGGTTCCATCTTGGATTCCAGATGTGTGCGCAACCTAATTAGTGTGCATTACCATTCCAAGGAGTACTTGCCCCTTCGAAGAAACCCACTGAATATTCATTGGTCTATTGTCCCCACCGAACCCATATAAGCCCTAGCCTTGTTTCCCCTTGTGAGTCAGTCTTTTGGAAAGGCATGAGCCCCGAATGACTCCTTTTACTTGTCACAAGTAAAATAAACCTGTTTAAACTGAACCCAAAAATTGTCTCCTCTGTATTCTTACAAGAGAAGGACAAGGACCCACTGAGTCCGGTCGGCCTCCCTACCCTCGGGGGTAACACTACCCCACCCCATGCTGGTCGTTTACTTGCTCTTTTTTTCTTTCTTTCAATACTTTGATGTACCTGTGCCTCCCAGCTTTTGGAAGAGGAGAAAACCTGTAGCCATCGAGTAGAGTCCGACTCATAGCGGTCTTACAGAGTAGAACTGCCCCATAGGGTTTCCAGGGAGCAGCTGGTGGATTTGAACTGCCGACCGTTTGGTTAGCAGCCAAGCTCTTAACCACTGACAGCACTATGAATGACAATGCCCTTCCTCCGGTTTCCATCTAAAGTGTCTCCCCAGCTTGCGTGGCCTTCCAAGCACCTGTCCCAGGTAGTAACAATAACACACCTCGTCGTTTAGCGACTGCTTCCGGCCGGGCAGTGAGCTGTGCTTCACAATTAGTAGAAACGGTGGACCCCTCGGAGCCCCAATCCGGCGACACCCAGAGCCCGCCCACCAAACCAAGAAGCTGGAAACCGCGCGGAGGGGCAGGGCGCGCGGACGGCGCGAGCGCCCCCGCTGATTGGCTAGCGGGGCAGGCTTCGGAGCCAATAGGAGCGCGCCTTGTTGTCAGGCGCCCAACTGGCGGGCGCGGGGGGTCGGGGTAGACTGGCTGTTGCCGTGGAGACACCTGGTGAGTTCCCAGACGGCAGGTTTGGTGGTCTCTCTGGGGTAGGGGCGAGGCTCCACCGAGCCTGGGGCGGGGGGCGCGGGCCAGAGGGACTGCCTGCGCGTGGCCGAGACTCGTGGGGACGCCCCGGCTCCGCGGACAGCCCCCGTGCCACCGTCAGGGAAACCGAGGGCGGAGGGCGGAGCGGCGAGGCCCGGCCTCCCTGCAGCCCCGCGGCCCTGCTCACGGCTTTCGCGCCTTCCTAGGGGGCTGAGGACAGGCCCCGGCCTGATGCGCGATTCACAGGGGCTACAGCATACAGCCGGAGGCACCATTGATTCCGCATCTGCCGGTGCAAAGCCGGGCGCCAGACCTTAACTCGCGTCCTTTCTCTTCATCTTCACTAGAGTCCTGTGAGATGAGTGCTGATATTATTGCCGCTTATAGGGGAAGAGGGAGGTGAGGTGACTTGCCCAAGGTCACCTAGGTAACCAGTGGGTCAGCCCCGCTCCAGACTGAAAATCTTGACCATTCTGTGCTACATACTGCCTCCCAGTAGGTGGGACCTGGCTAGAGCACTTCTGACGCTCCTAGTGTGAGTCCAGGTGGCTTTGGGGACCTTGGTTACTACATCTGACACCGCGACAGATTCCATGCGGCTAAGGTTCTTTCTATGTGACTCATAATGTGTTCTTAGGTGGTTGCTACATGCCCTCCAGTCGGTTCTGACTCATAGCGACCTTATGTGTAACGACGAAAAAGGTCCTGCTCAATCCTCGCAGTCATTAGGTATGTTTGAGCCCATTGGTGCAGCCACTATGTCAGTCCATCTCGTCGAGGGTCTTCCTCTTTTTTGAGGACCCGTAACTGGTTAGAACTAGAATATCCTTAGAATGGTCCTCTCAGGGGTCGGCAATCTTTTGCTGTAAAGGGCCAGATAGTAAATATTTTAGGCTTTGCAGGCCATGCTTATCTCTGGCCTTGTAGTGTGAAAGCAGACAAAGACAAAATTTATTTATGAACACTGAAATTTGAATTTAATGTAATTTTCATGTGTCACAAATTTTTTCAACCATTTAGATATGTAAAAACCATTCTTTGCTTCTGGACTGTACAGAAACAGTCAACTGATTAGTTTGCAGACCCCTGGTCTAGTCCAAAGCCTCACATGGTACAGGAAACTGTGGCACAGACAGCGGTGTCATGCAAAGTTGGTCACACAACCAGGTAGTAATGCCACAACTAAGCTTAAGACCTAGACTTCCTGACTCCCAGGCCAGAGCATGCCAGGAAACACCACCACCCTACCACTCTGGACCAGGGTGCTAAGATGCTCAAAGTGTATCATTCTTATCATGTGTTTATTATTATTATTATTGTTGTTGTTATGCTTTAAGTGGAAGTTAACAATTCAAGTCAGTCTCTCATACAAAAATTCATACATACATTGTCATGTGACCCTAGCTGCTCTCCCCGTACTGTGACAGCACACTCCTCCTTTCCACCCTGGGTTTCCAGTGTCCATTCAACCAGCCCCTGACCCTCTCTGCCTTCTCACCTTGAGTCCGGACAGGAGCTGCCCATTTAGTCTCATGTATCTACTTGTGCAAAGAAGCACACTCTTCACAAGTTCTCATTTCAAGTCCAGTCTAATCTTTGTCTGAAGAGTTGGCCTCGGGAATGGTTTTAGTTTTGGGCTAACAGAGAGACTTGGGGTCATGTCTTCCGGGGTTCCTCCAGTCTCAGACCATTAAATCTGGTCTTTTTACTAGAATTTGAGTTCTGCACCCCACTTTTCTCTTGCTCCATCAGGGACTCTTGTGTTCCCTGTTAGGGTGGTCATTGGTGGTAGCTGGGCACAATCTAGTTCTTCTGGTCTCAGGCTGATGAAGTCTCTGGTTTATGTGGCCCTTTCTGTCTCTTGGGCTAATACTTTCCTTGTGTCTTTGGTGTTCTTCA